ATAGCGACAGCCTCCACCTAATAGCCATGGCCTCCACCTAATAGCGATGGCCTCCACCCAATAGCGATGGCCTCCACCCAATAGCGATGGTCTCTACCTAATAGCGATGGCCTCCACCTCATAGTGTCCTTCCTACTGCACCCATCGCAGGAGCAGATCCGGGATGTGTGGCCTTTGCTGACAAACTCCGCTGAGCCGGGCAGCGCCAGCGCCGGACGACCGGGACTCTCCGAGGCAACGTTGAAGGCGAGGAAACGAATTTCCTCAGGTTTCCACGAGGGACACTCCCAGTGAAGCTGTAACAGTCCGTATACATCAGAGTATTAAGTATTGGCCTTGACTAGAACTATCATCCACTGTTGGCTGGTAATGATATATACCCAAGTTTCCACTATTATGTTCTACTCTTTCACTACTTCGAGGGCGGACAAGATCTGATCTTAGACCAGCTGGGTGGCATCCAACACTCTGACAGGAGCCTGGCTCCTTTCTGCACACCGGTTCTTTCAGAGGTCTCAAACGCTTGAGTCCGGAATCGGAGTCGGGTCATTCTGAAGGGGCCCCAGCAAAATCCACCCACCTTCTCAGATAGGTACGACTGGACCCTCCTGGCAACCTCAAAAAAGATGTCCCCTCCATAGATCCATATGGGTAGAATACCCCTCCCGCAATCCCAGGCCGCCCAGGACGCCCAGGACGTCGCACCGGGACCCCTCTTCCAACCGACCCCGGGTGGTGGCTGTTCGCCGCCAGGAACTGCTCCGGGAACGGCGCCATGTCACCGGAGCTGCAGCGCAGCTTTGGGATGCGCCGGAAGGCGGGCGGGGCGGTCGTGAGGGCCAAAGAGAGCCAGGAGTTACGTTGATGTCTTATATATATATCTTATATGTATATATACAGTACACTCCACCGTCTCGAAAACATCGGGAAAATTGGCCAAGGCGGCCGACAGATAAAGCACGGCATAGCACGGCAAGCCCCAGTGATTGGGGCGAACAACGGGGAACGAATCTGGGGAGCTTCGCTCGGCATAGGCGCAAATGCCCCCAGACTCTTTGATCTGCGCGGGTTGGCCGCTGGCCGTCCGAAGCGGTTTAATGTAGAGAGGTTGACAGGAACCTGTGCAACTGCTTGGAGGAGAAGAGTATTTGGTCAATATAAATTGACAATTGGAGATACGTATATACAGGTTTCTTGATGTTGGGTGCCATGACTGAACTGTGCAGCACTATGCGATGGACCCGAAGCCGCACGTGAGGATCTAAAGCGGCACATGGGAAGTGGAAAACCATGGAAAACCACCTGTTTTGTACCGGAAAGAAAGGGGGAAACCCGCCACCTCCTGCCGAAACCACGCAGTCCGCAATCTGGAGTCCGGGAGACGAGGCGGTGAAGAGCTGGGGCAGCTCTATGAGGGAGAAGGCTTGGAAGTCTTGGAGGCGAATTCGGGTCACTTGGGCCAGACAGGGGTTAAGTGGGAGACAGGGATCGAGGTGAATTTGGGAGATGGGATGGATGGGATGGACGGGATGGATGGGATGGATGGGATGGACGGGATGGATGGGATGGATGGGATGGACAGCTTTTGGTTGAGAGCTTGCACATGTCAAGGCAAAGTTCCCGTTGAGATCATTAGGTGTAGCGGTCAAATTCCACAAGATGCGGTGGAAATGGGAAACGAGTCACAAGTTGCCTGTGTCTTATTATGTGTTATTTATATTTGTGTGTTTTTTCAATCAAGTGGCTTGTAGCAACAAAAAAGAAATGAGGGCAAGAACAGTTCCAGATGCTTACTTGGCGCCGACCAGTCGGGGGGAGCACAGAAAACCGGTGTTCGCCGGCCATTGGCGTTCAGTCCACATCTTCCAGGGGCGAGACGGCGAGACCTGGAAGATCTAACAAGTGGAGGAGAGGTCTGTATAAGGCGAATCATTCTTGCAACATGCCTCCTTTGCTTGCTCTTCCAGTGGCGAGGTACGACCCATGGGTCCCAACGAGCTCGTCGCCCTGTTAGCTCCGCTGCCACGGGTGTATGTCTAAGATTGTATAATTATGTATAGGTCGACCACTCTGTTCTCTTGGCCGTGTGAATGGGTCCAGTCCAATCATTCAGCTTGGTTGTAGGATTTTTGCACTGCTTCTTTTCCTCCATTTCCACTCTAAGAGAGGTGAAGTGACCCGTAAATAGGATCTGGGGTACCCAGTAACTGGGATAGAGTTCGTTGCCCGAGCAAAAAGGCGAACCCACCACGTTATACGTGCGACCTTCGCACATCTGTCTTTCCCAAGTCGCTGCCCTTCCATTCCATGTCCAACTTCACTTGCAAAAGCCTGGCAAAACCCTCAAAGCATATGCATTTCAAAGCACTGGTGGCGCCTTCCCTGCCACCGGGCTTTTGATTCCCTGCCTTGGCCGGAGCCGAGTCGAATCCGCGCGAATCCACCGGAGCCGAGGTGAACGCCTCCAGGGCCGTTTGCTCCGGGACAGCCGGACCTTCTGGGTGCCTAACGACCGTCCCACGGACCGGGCGTTTTCACCAGAGATGAAGAGGTGAAGGTGGTGGGAGAACTGGTGTCCTGCCCGAAGTCATGGATGATCTCATGTAGAATCTTGATTCATGAACCCCGCCAATTTCAATTTGTAAAGACCTCACGATATCAATATTCTAGATCAGTTACTTTCATGAACTAGGTCGGCCCACTCAAAACATGAGGTCTTTCGTGGTCTTTCTTTGGTCGCAGTCTCTCCACCGACGCCCGGCCATGACGTTTGGCGACCCTCGATGTAAGAGCTCACACTGTCTGGGTGTCCAAGGGACTACCCTACGTACACTGCTCAATGAGGGACTACCTTACCAGGACATACCAGGACACCCATTTTTTCCATGGTCCTGGCATCTTTTGGTGCTGAAGTAGAGGGTGTCGATGGGAAGGTGTGACAGAGCTGTAGGGTATGAAAGTTGGAGGTTGATCCGGTAATGATATTGGTGGAAGACAGCAGTTTAGCTGCAAGAATGTCCATGCCGTCAAAAGCGTTTGTGGTTTGTTGCCAGTTTTGCACCTTGACATGAAGTCTTTTTCCAGGCTCCCTGCTTCTCATCATTTGCCCCTTAAAATTTTAAAAACCAGCTGGCCAAGGAGTAAAGTTCAATAAATCAGGAGTTTGAACAAAGTATTATATAAATATATATACCTAGAGCCTGACTGACCTCTGTTTTGATAGGAAAAGATCACATTTTGGATAGTTGATCCTCCAAAACAGGGGTCACTCAGGCTCCAGGGATATATACCAGCTGCTTTCAAGCGTTTCATCAATGGACAGCTCTCCATTGGACCAAGCACACCCAATCACCGGGAGTCGGTTCGACTTGGCCGCTCGAGGTGCCTTCCTCGGCCCTCTCTGCTTCCACCGGCGCCACCAAGCTGCAGCAGGGACTCCCAGACTCAGCCGGTGCGGCGCGACGACCACGGTTTTCACCGCGGGCGAGGACGCGGCGGCGAATCCGCAGTCGATGAGTGACTCCTGAGGATGGAGCAAGCACTAAGCTCACTAAGCACTACAAGACGCCAAGAAACAACTGGTGCAAGGTGGTTTGGCAACTCTATTGATTAATATACTTATTTGGATTTGAATCTGGTTCACAAGAACACGACTAAAGATGTTGGAGCGAAAGTAAAGTAGGGTGTTTTCTTGAGATATGCAATGAAGACTCGGGCAACTCCTCCAGTGCTTCCCCGATGCTGCAATGAATCCATATCATTCAGTTTCCCATTTGGAACCCACGGCAGGTTCGTTGACCAATGACCAATCATTCATATGTGTGCTGCAAAGCTCTGAGTCACCCTTTTGATGGAGCCACGAGTCCGGAAACAACAAAGAACGCATGCTCAATTTGAGGAGCCTGGTAGCCTACATCAAGGCGCGCCCGACAGTCCTCACCTAACTGTCGTGTCTGGTTGTCTTTCTTTTTGTTTTGAGAAAGAGAACAGGAGCCTTTGGGAGACGGACATCAATGCTGTACCCAGACACGACTAATGGGACTAGCAGAATATTCTGGTTGAAAAGGGATGAATGCAGGCATATCTTCCATACGTGGAGTGTTTGGGGCATAGACCAAGTGCATCCAAGCGCTGTTTTGTTTCTTCCGGGCGTCCAGACTTGAGAGTTTCACCCATGAAAGAGGCACATCGTTCAGTTGGACAAAACAGTTCAACGCAAGCACTCTCCAAAATTCCGTGCTGCACCAACACTTTTTGGTGTAGAAAGAAAGCTGTGTGTCAAAAAGGGTCAGGCCCTGGTCCTGGCCCTTGCCCCCCCCCAGCCGCGTCGCGGCCCAGTGGCAGCTAGCAGCACCATCCTGGCTAAGGTGTATTAGGACCATCCCACAAACTATATAAAAGGATAAAGGTGTGGGTATAGGTTTTCCAAAGAAAGGGCTCCTAAAAAGTGGGTTCCTTTCAATGCCAGGTCTGTGGTGAGTTCCAAGTGGGTGAATCCAGAACCCCCACCAGGACCTTCCAACAGGTGGTGTGGTGAGTTTGGTGTTGAACCAGGGTCCACCAAACAGGTCACCAGGGTCCGATCGAACGGGTCCAACACCATTCCACCGACGTTGAGATCTGTTCGCCGCACCAAGTCGTCCTCTGTGGGTGGGGGCGACCGGTCCCCTACCTGGGTGGAAAGAGAACCATCCGGGACAGGTTTCGGCTTCAGGCAATCGGTTGCGTCCCCTTTTGCAGGATTTCTTTAACGGTCCTGTCCCGTCATCGACAGGCGATCACTGCGAATTGCGACTTCTCGGCAAAGCAGACGCAGCAGAAGGGTGCACAGGTCTGAGGACGTTGGTGATTGAACCGTTGGAATGTGTGTGGGTGTTCTACTGTTTCTTTTTCTTCTACTTGTTTTCTCTCTTCTTCTACCTTGTCTTCTTCTTCTAGGACTCCTATTTAATATTGGTGTGGTGATGTTTATATAGTGTAAGGCTATATCAGCCGTGACATTCGTCTCGCCATAAGGGAGTGACCACCACCTGTGTCCATTGGTAGAGTGGTTCTGCACTATGAAAAAGCAAAGCTTGCTAAGCCACAGGTGACTCAAACCTGAGTTTCTTGCTTGGCCCTCACAAGCGACTAACCACAGTAGATATGATTAGACATGTCGTACAAAGGCAATATCAAGGAAAGCCGCTTGCACGAAGTTGGACAGAATTCATGGCCGTAGAAACTTGAGGTGGGTGTGTTGCGAAGAGCAAACCCTGGCGAAACAAAGAGAACCTTGTCTTTGGAAGATTTGCACATCCTCCCCAAAGAAGAGCAAACATGATTTGTACCTTGTACCGTGTACCTGTCGGAAGTCAAAGGAGGCACGCATCCAGTTTAATGGGTAGAGATTCAGACTAGGAATTATGTGGCTGGTTCGTAGAGCAGGAATCGTTTGCGTCATCATGCTGCATGTTTGGTTCTCACATGACCCAACATTTGCAAGATAGTCCCTTGATGGTTCAACCTCAAAGGTCTATCAAAGACTATGTACAAGCTGGGAGCACTAAAGCAGGGTGATGGAGGAACCATTGAATGGTGATGAACCCGTTTAACCAGTTTTCGAGGGTGTCCAAGCGAGCAGTTTGGAGTGGTTTCCGATGGTACACACCCTAAGAGCCGCCCTTTACAAACGTCCAAGTCATCTATGAGTTTGTAATCATCCAGTTTCGTAGACCCTAGCCTTCCAAGACCAGTTCAGCAATTGTTGACCTGGTTTTGGTAGTCCAAAGCCCTTAGTAAAACAATTGTTGTTCGGTTGGAATCTCAGGGTAGACAAACAACTTGGTCAACAGGTCAACACCTAAGGGTTCCACTCACCAAACTCTCAGATTTTAGGTTTACCGGCATGAGTTGACCAGATCCTTTGCAATTATGGAACCGAAATGCCGTTTGATGCCATACCCAGCTCGCGGAGCTTGCGGCCAGGTCATCACTTTGAAGACAGGGCCCTTGGTCGCGGTGGGCAACCAGCTGTCGCCCAGCTGCAGTTCGCCGCCCTTCTCCGCCGCAAAGACGCCGGACTACCACGCTGGACTGCCCGCCCGGGCCAGTCCCCTAAGTCTTCGTTCGTCTGGGTTTTTGACATGTGTTGAATCGGCCAATAGACTAGCACCTCGGATACCCATCTGTGATTTGGAAAGGAGATGAAAGGAGTATATATATATATGGAGCCTGACTGACCTCTGTTTTGATAGGAAAAGATCACATTTTGGATAGTTGATCCTCCAAAACAGGGGTCACTCAGGCTCCAGGTATATATATCAACCGTACCAATTGACCATGCTCGCAACTAGAAAGAGGAGAGACACCGACTCGCAAGGTTGGAAGCCTCCAAGAAGTTCATGGAGGAGCGAAGCCCGGCCCGTTGGGGCTCCCTCCCCCGGGTCTTCCGGGTATTGGTCTTGTTCTTTTTGTGTTGGGATGGGATGGATCGTGCTTGGAGGGGTCCGGGCTCCGGCAGTGTTCTGTTTCAGACAAGGTGTGAGGCAGATGAGGCACAAGCTGGATCAGCTCAAGAGAGGTTGAGTGACCTTATAAGGCCATAATGGAGTGCCTATGGTATAGTCTAGAGTCTATAGGTTTCTTCAACCTCTGTTGGGCAGGGGTGGCAGGTGTATCCCTTTCCATGGGCCTTCCTTCAAGACGTACCACGTGGGACGTTGGAGTGGGAGAGCCCAGGAGGTCGCAAGATCCATCAAGGTTTGGCATGACACATGAAGCCAGATGTTGCTTCATGTGTCATTGGCACTTTGGGAAGCATTGGACACAATGGACAGATGCTGGATGCAGATTTTGGATGATTTTGGCCGTATTGGCCGTGTTCGCGGTGCCACGATCCATGGACCGGCTCGATGATAGGCTCTGGAAATGTCTAACCACAACCGTCATGACGCTCCCAGTACTATAGTTGGATTATGAGACCTCTTGATATTTTTTGATGTTTTAAGTGCTGAAATAGTAATTTGTATATTAAAAACTAATCATCAAAGACCAAGGACTTTAAATTTACCGCGGAGATCAGGGAGGCTCGCCGACTTGGCGTGTCAAGCCCCGCTGAAGGCTTGGGGAGACCTTCGGGCTTCGGGGAGATGGTGGATCCAGAAGGTACGACTCAGAAGGTACGGTACCGTTAGCCAGACACTCCATGTATGCCATATATGCCTACATTGGGGTGGTTTGGAGGGCCAATGTAGGCATATATGGCATACATGGAGTGTCTGGGTTATGTAGGCGCCTGTCGTTCCTTCTTATTTATCAAACCTTGGATCCAAAGACGTTCTCAGGTTCGGCACGACTGTAGCCGACGTTTTGGCGCCTACATGTCAGTGTCGAACACATCCCCTTCTCAGAGGGTATGTGGATCCAGTGTTGGTTTCATTGTCTCGTTACAAAGCTGTGAAGTGATGAAGATTTGCCTTTCCACGCTGAGGATGGATGCGGCCTTCATGGCATAGATATTCAGTTCTGGTCGGCATAATGACGCTTTTGGGATTCCCGGAAAGTAGGACATATATGACAATGATGATGGAAACTCGGAACTGTGCATATTACAACAATGTAGATCGAGTTGCATCAACAATCCCCCAGGTTTAGGAAACCCGCTTCTGACGAACCTGGTGATTGGACGCCTTGTAGAGACTAGTTTGCTGATTGTTATCTTTTTGGACTGCATGGAGCATGGGATCAAGCATAATTAATTATCATTTTTACATCTACAGGCTCTACCAACCAGCTTCACAAATTCTCCCTCAAGTCTATCTCTGCCAGTAGGATTGCCACTGGACCTGAAACAAAGAGGCACGAGGTATTACAAGGATTCACAAGGCATATAATCTCACCAATTCAATTGTGTTTCTTTGTTTTTCAGACTCCAGGATTCCACAACATATTAATTCTTGAACATGCCTTTTTTTTTCGTGGCGCCAGATGAACAGTTCGCCTCTTTCCACGTGTGAGTCAGTGGCTCGGAGGAGAAAGATAAGTTAGAAGCCTTGAAGGAGAAGTTGACCTTGGCCAAGGACCCAATCGGCTGTGATGTGGGCCCAGAGGAGACCAATGTCCACCCAGGTCCACCTTGGAGACCAATGTCCACCTTGGAGACCTCGACCGTCGTGTGGAGAGAACCAATGGTTCCAAAATAAACCGCCAAGAGAAATTGTGCATCCCATATACCTTCTGAGAGAGTAGGCATTTATGTAGGCTTGCTAGGGCACATAGTTGGACACATAGTAGGACATTAAAGGAACAACAACATTGATGAACATTGTAGTTGTTGTCCTTGTCGCCATGTCATCACCAAGCCCTTTGGAAACACTCCCCAAAAAGGTTGTTTCACCATATCAAGTGAGTGAAATCTGTAGGTTGTTGCACTCAAGAACATCCCTGTTGGGTGTTTTTTCGCATCCAATCTGTCCAAGAACATCTCCGCGCGGCCCCTTCCACCACCAGGATGCCGCTGTACGAGAGCACGAGGCCGGGGGGCTCCGCAAATCGCCTGGCATCGGTGAAGTGCCGTGGCCTTTACATGGCCAAAGGCAGCAGAGGTGCCAAGATCAAGGCTTTGATTTGTGGCATGAGAGTGGCTGAGAAGATCTAGATTCTCATGGGCATTTCATGAAGTTGATCTTGTTGGGAGCACCAGAAGTAGAATGGATCTTTGGGCTTCAAGATGCTTGGAATGGTCTTGAGAAGTGGTTGCAAGGGAATATGGTCGTCAATCCCATGAGTTGAGGGGACCATACTCCTTTCCGCTCGATCCCAAGAACGTGGCATATATATCTGGCATAGCTCCCATGCACAGACGATGTGAAGTCGTACCAAACCTCAGGTTCGGTACGACTGGACCCTCAAAAGCTACATAAGAGTGTCGAACACATCACCTTCTGAGAAGGTACTTGGATCCCTAATTATGTTGTCAGACATTTTCCATTTGTCCTTGCCAGCAGTTGTTGCCTGCTCCCCGGACAAAAAAGAGTGCCGTGGACAAAACTCAGAGGAGACACTAGGGATCCAGTAGCATTGTTGATGTCACCTCCTGCGCGGTGTTGGGAAAACAGGTTTCCATTTGGTACTAGTTGTCAGAACCTACCGCGGCTGGTTTTAGAGCATCAATCGGCAACCGCGGCTGGTTGCTGTGCTAGATGTAGCTAGCTCGTTTTGTTTCACACGGTCCAATTCTGTTCCATGGCCTCAAGAGACATGAAACATCATGAAACGATCACTTCTTAGTCTAGGAAACGTGTCTCCAACATACGTGTATAGTGCTCGTCTTCAAGTGTGTATATATCTATATATATATATTATCAATGCTTTCTAACCGACCCACCCAACCTTCCAACGCTTGGCTTTTCCTCCCAGCCCTTGGGACGTCCTCCCAGCCCTAGGCAGAAGTCAAGGAGCTGGAGAGCGCCAAGTGTCAGGCGCATCCGCGCTCCGCGCCCAGTGTGGGCGAGGTGTTGGGTGGGGACACCGCAGGAAGGACCTTAGACAGTGTAGGCCCGAAGAGCACAAGAGCAGCTGCGAAGTTTGATGAGGTCATGTAGTGACTGGTACTCAGTACTGGTCTGATATTTGTTGGCTTCAGACTGGCAATTTCTTGAAGAGATGAAAGAAGTGCGAGTGACCATCATTCATCCAGAATCTACCCGCTGTTGTTTTGGTTTGCAAAATCCTTGGTGCAGCTATGCTGAGGTACTGGTATCATGTCAACCGGGTGAACCTGGATATCGCACCCTGAAAGCAGAACAGTCAAGAGTAGGGAAAGGCAGGGTCAGTTCCTACATGTTCGTGCCTTGCGTGAATCGCACGGTTTCTTGCTCAAAAGTCCAATGATTGGCACTTGAAGAGAAACACCTGTCGACTGCTTTTGGCGAAGCGACAAGCGTGTCCGCGATTTTCGTCGCGAGAAGCGTGGGCCGAGAGAAGAGGCCTTTGCGGAGAAGTCCTTGGCGAAAGCCAAAGGAGAGGTGCAACAGGCCAACCACGCCGTGCAAGAGGCGGAGCCGAGCGATATAGGTGGTCGGGAGGGTGGGGGTCGCCTAGAGATAGGCCTGATAGGCTGGTTACGGTTCCAACTCGGAGCATCAAAAGTCATGTTCAAGGTGCAGTCCTTCGTTATACCATGCTATACCTATTGTATCCTGTTATTTGTTGTGGTGGGAGGGTGCCGGGTGGCCGTACCGCCCTCGGTACCGAGCATGCCCTCAGGGTTTGGGAGAATATGTAATTGTATACAGTGGATTGAGAGTATAGATGGCACACTCCCCAAGTTAGGTGGTTTATATGGATCCCCATCTAAAAGACATCTTGGGGTTTGTACCATCCACTCTGAAACCACTGTATTCTTGTTTAATGTGTTCTTTATTTGTACATTCCTCTTCATGTTTTTCAATTGGGAATTGGCCGTTGGGCACCTCAGCCAGCGATATGTATAGGTAGGTGCCAGGTTGCTTGATTGGACAAAAAACCATGGGACATTGGGAACAAATGTCAACATGGCAGGGGGGGGTGTGATCCTGATGTCAATCCGGTCATTTCCTCTGTACAAGGTCCACATGAATACCTGACCTGCCCGTCCCTCGCCGCACGCGGCCAGGTGGGCTCCAAGGACTTGTCGCCCGAGCAGGTGCAGGAGCTGCCGCCCTCCGAGCTGGAGGCCGAGCCCGAGCTCTGTGCGAAACGGGCGGTGCAGCGGGTGGTGCAGCGGGTGGTGCGATGCGACGGCTGGCGAAAGGTGTGGTGGTGCCGCGATGTGCCGCGAAAGGTGTGAGGCACTGAGGTTTTCCCGTGGGTTGGATGTGTAGAGATGGGATGTAGAATGGTGTAGAATCAGTATACAAAATACTACAATATTGTATGATGTATAGATTGTGCAATGGATATATCATTATATAGCTTGTTCATATATCTATATAGAGATCGAGATTTGTATATGTAGTCAGTTGTTGTAGGGAATCAATTTGTGTGGTTGGTGCTCGATCTGCAAAACTTGAGGATGTTGGATGTTCAACATCTTGACGGCTTTTTTGACATCACACCGTCACTCCTGCGTCTTTCCCGTTCGAAGCGATTCTGAGCCAGCAAGAGGCCGAAACCTAAGAGTGGCGAGGCCATACCGACACTCGTCACAGGCCTTGCTGAAGAAGAGCGAAGGGGCTGAGGAGGCCCTGAACACTGCTAAGGCGCTCACACTCCGGAGGGGTGTGGATTGGATTACATGACACATGTTAGAATGACACATGACACATGTTACTCCGGAGGGGTATGTGTCATGTAAGAATGTTTCTTTTTATTTTTCTTACATGACACATTCTTCTTCAACCGAACGGGTCCGCTGGTGCTTCGATTGTCGGGTCCGCTTCGGTCGGCAGAGCCGGCGGAAAGGGGCGTTACAGGGAGGGGTGGAGCTCTCGATCTGGAGATCTTCATGGAGGATCTGAACCAAACAGCCGAGTTTGTCGTGTCAACCAAAAGCTTTAGAGTGGCCTTCGGAGTGTTCAGTGACGCCGCGGGGGGGGTGGCTCAGAGATGCTCAGATTTGGGTCAACGGAAGAGATTGGAAGGTCCGCTGGATCCCTACTCACAAGCATGGCATAGCATGGCTGTGTGGATAAGATATGGCACACTTTGTGTTATCGCACATGTTGTGCTGTCATTGCTGGACTACAGTCTAGATGTCAACGTAGTCTCTTCATTAATGATATTTGGGCTCCCCTTCGCAATATGAAGAGGTTTTGCAAACCAAAGCGGAGGGTCTATTAATCAAGAGTCTACAAATCATTGCACCGGTGAGTCGTGACAGATTTTTTTGCGTCTTATATCCGTGTGCGGCACACCTGGCCAATGGACTCGTTTCACGGGCAGGAGTCGTCCTTTTTTGTTGCACGGGCGTTTTTTTGGTGTTTGGTTTGACCCCCCACATACGTCCATCCACCATCTCATGCCACGCACATGCCCACGATGATGATGATGATGATGATGATGATGATGATGATGATGATGATGATGATGATGATGATTACTATTATTAGTCTATTATTTATCAATTGCACAATATTACGGAGTAATGGGAATGGGTAACTGATCCCAGATGATCCCAGGTGAAACCTGGTGAAACAAACATCTTCGATACCCTAAGGTTCTAGGAAAGGTATGGAGGTGGAAAATTGGACAATGGGCCCCCTGGATGAGCACTTTCGTTTACAAACAGGTGGTTGTCCACTTGGATGTACAACTCATGAACAGAACGGGGAGGCCTGAGACATCACCTTTTTAGACGCTCCATGGGACTGCCCATGTTCAAGTTTGCGTACAATAACGGGGGGGTTTTGGGAGTCAATATTGACATACATGGCAGTATGACTATACATGGCAGTGTTATAAACTGGTTTAGGTGGTTCATAGTGGATATAGTTGTAGAACTGGTTTAGGTGGTATAACTGGTGGTTTATGACTATACATAGCAGTGTTTGGACCTGCAGTTTCAGTTCCACGACCAGGTCCAGCCAGTATAAAACCGTGCTCGTGAGGCCACCATCGAGGAGGTCCGGCTGTCCTTCGAAGGCTTTAAAGGTGCGGCGTGGAGTACCGAGTGTGGGAGAGCACGGGAGCATGTCAACACATCTTCAACCTCGCGGAAAGGGCATTGTTTCATGTTTGTTTCTTTGTTTTTTCATTTGTCTATTTTTGTGGGTCTGAAATGTCTGAAGAGTGTCTTTTTTGTTGTGTGTGTGTGTGGGTTGTTTCGAACATTCAGGTATTTGCCTACATTGGGGTGCTTGAAAAGTGGTCCATGTGCATTCTATTCATCCAATGTGATAGGGATTGAGGATGCTGAAGGTCCGGATCCGATATCCTGCGAGTCCTAGAGCAACAGATCGGGATTTGGTTGGTCACCTGTGGTTCCAACCACCCAGCTTGCCGAAGCATGCCTTCCCTTGGACGAGCCGACGTAAGCCAAAGCCCACGGGCCCACCGAAATCATCATCCATCATCGGTGGCATGTTTGATTCAAGGAAATAAAGAAATAGGCAGACATCAGGGTTTCAGAGAGATTCTGGTCCAGAGAGATTTTCACTTGATTTTGTATTGGTTTGCGGGCCTCTTAGCGAAACAATCCCTGGTCAACAAGTGCATGACCATGGTCAATTTTCACTGCATGGAACACTTCAAGAGGCGGGTCGTCTCGCGTGGTGATCTTGCGCCGAACCGGCGGGTGCGCCATGCGCGCCGGCGCGCACGTGACGCGCACCGTGAAGGGCGTTGTCCGGTCGCAGGTCCCAAGAAGTTGATGTTGCAGGCGAGGGTGTTTGGGGCGTTCTTTTCAGACGAGAGACAGCATGGAATCCTGAGGTTCTGTTTACGATATCCCCCAAAAGAGAAGAATTGGGGTTTGGGGGTTCCGATCCCATTAGTGGTATATTAATATTATGGCACATCTCTTCAGAGAGAGTTCCAGAGACCCACTTGCCACAGACCCACTTCCTCTAAAATGTAAGATGTCTATCTAAACCTATCTAAACCAACTCTAAAGCACTCTAAACCACTCTAAACCACTCTAAACAACTCTAAACCACTCTAAACCACTCTAAACTCATCTAAACTTATCTAAAACCACTTGATGCCTAAAAAACACTAAAAACTCTACTCTAAGACTATCTAAAACTTTAGATGATTTTAGAGGGGAGTTGTCTTCAGAGTGGATTAGAGTTGGTGCCAAGTACATGCTGTAGGTAGGGCCCAAATAGCTTTCCCCAAGCAGGATGAGGCCACAGACCCACTTCCCGCCAGCATCCCCACTCTAAAATTTTAGAGTGGATTAGAGTTGGTGCCAAGTACATGCTGTAGGTAGGGCCCAGATAGCTTTCCCCAAGCAGGATGAGGCCACAGACCCACTTCCCAGCATCCCCACTCTGAAATTTTAGAGTGGTTTAGAGTGATTTAGAGTGGTGTCAGTCACTGTCACTGGTTTCCACCTCCAAGTGTCCTCACTCTAAAATTTTAGAGTGGTTTAGAGAGGTTTAGAGTGGTTTAGAGGATGTGGGTCTGTGGGAAGTGGGTCTCTGCAACTCTGTGTGATCTCTTGAACATTTATTAAACATAATCTAAACGCATTGACCCCCTTTTTTCAACTATGTAATCAGCGCCAACCGACGGCGTGCGGTCCACGGTCAATGGAAAAAGGACTTATACACTGAGCTTCCGATATGGAATAGGATCCATATTTTATCTTAAAACATATTGACATATTGATCTAGAATGGTTTCAAAAGGAATGCAAGTTTCTATGTTCTATCTTCCCAGACCATCTATGGCCGGCATATATGGATGGTCTGGGATTGGCAGTGTCGTAGAAAAACCTGTAACGGTCGGTAAACAAGAACTATTTGAGAGAGAGGCCTGCAACTGAACCATCATCCACCGAGTCAACGGGGTGGTTTGGTTCGTCCCATCCAGTGAGTGGATGTGACAGGGGCACCCCAACATCGAAATGTTTGGTATAGAATGGAACTGGCAGAGGAAGGCTTGGAGATGGCTGAAAACGAACGGAGGCGGGGTGGTTGAAAAGCAACTGGGCAACGTTCACTGGTCTCCGCATGATTCTGCATTAGCCTAAGAGTTGAAACATGTAATTATTTATGTAGCCTCAACCTGACACTGCTGCAAAACTAGTTCTAACTGGTGCATGATCATATGTGTATATATAACTATATATATATATAATGCTGTGAAACGTCCATTGGAAGGGAGGACTCCAGACCTTTTCGCTTGTTTGATCACCGCCGCACTCAAGTGGTGGGAGGGCAGAGGACATTGCATTGCGAGTAAACAGACGCATTGCACAGGGACAGGGGTGGTTGAGGTCAACCAAGGTTGAATCTGTTTGGATTGTAGGACAGGGCTCCTAGCTGGTTTCACAAATGCGGTCATGTACACTGGTGTTGTGTCGCGGCTTGGTTGTCGAGCTTGCCAGGTGAGAGTGGAACTGGAGCGTTTGAAGAAGGTACTGAAAGTCTCGCAGCAGGCCTGGGAGGGCAACCATCAACAGATCTCCACCACCTGTGCACAGGCGGGCGGCCCGCGCGCGTCCTTTTTTGTGCACCGAAACCACCTTCCCCGGCGGCGCGGTGACAGTTTCCGACTTCTCGGCCAGGTGTGAGACGGTGCCTTCCCCCAAAGGACTTCTCGGGCCGGATCAGCTTGTGGATGTAACGGATGTGACGGTCTTTCACAGGCGTTCAGGATGCAAACTGGGTGGCATAGCGATTCATGTGACGATTGGACGACACATTTTCGCATGGAACATCGGTCTCGCCGGAGCGACACGCATCCACCAGCCTGATCAACCCACCCTCTTCTTTGAGTAAAGCGCCAGGCGCACCATGCATTTTTCACAGTCTCCATCACTTCCGAGCACTGAACGACGACAAAACCTGAACTTATGATGACAAGAAGACCCCGACTGGATCCACCCCCCTTCGTTCTCGCCACTCCCGGGAGGTGCGCAAGCGGCTGAAGATGCGGGCGCGGCAGGCGCTGCGGATGTGCTTCCGTCAGGCGGAGCTGTCGGCTGAGAGTGCCTTTCAACAAGTGGCCAGGCGTGGTCGATGGAGACTGGAGGTCTGAGGCGCATCATGATATGTGCTATAATTAATATGTTATCTTAAAGTGTCCGTGATTGTAACCTCCTTCAATATCATATTGTCCTGCATCAACCTCATAAGCGTTCCTAAAATGATGTTTATTATAGTTATAGGCTCTCCATACATCAAATTCATTGAAGACTGGTTTCCCCTAAACGGTATGTGTGAGCCGTACGCCTTGTTTTGGTCAATTTCCAAGTGTACCACCCTGTTATAAAGGAAGTTATGAAGTTTCCTGTTATAAAGTTTGGGATGTCGATATCAACCTCATTATAATAGGATTTATGATTTACCTAAAGGATTGAACATTTGTTGGTTGAACATGAACATTGCTTTTGAGATGTTGTTGTGTGTCTTCTTTGCCTCAACTGTTATACTGGCATTGATTGAGCCTGTCCGTCTCAGTGTATTTCAGAAAGTCATCAATGCCTTCAATCATCTTGGATTCAATGCCTTGACAGTCTGTAGAAGCCTCAACATCGTTATACTGTATGTTCATTGCCTTGAGATTTCTTTTTAGTGCGTAGATGTGGTCATCCTTCATCAATCCAATGGTCTTGTTTGATGGCTGATAGGAGAACATCAGATTACCCATACAATCAAAGGTTCTGGCTGATACATGGATTCTTTGAACATCTCATTCATATCATTAAATAATTGAAGGCCCAGATGTTTTGAATTATTCATCAGTTTTACCAATGAATTCCAGAACTTTATCTCTGGTCATTTTCTTCATTCTGGGATAATTGCCATAACCATCATTCAATTTCAATGTATTTATCCAACACTCATTAGTGATGTAGTGCTTTATCTTGACGGCTTCTTCAAATGTGGCAACATTCTTCAGCATGTGATTGATATTGTGGTATGTTTGGGGCCATTGCAAAGGTTGCAAATGGTTCCTGTGGCAAAAAGTCTTCCATGTAGTACCCGGATCGAATATTGGTTTAAACAAGTTCTTGAATCCAGTCTCGATCAAGATCAATCTGGCCACCAATAAAACATCCTCCTTTTCTCATCTCAACACAGTGGTCATGTTTGGGTTCTCTTCCGCCCCCCCAAAACACGCTCCTCCAAAACGGACCCAAAACACGTGCTCCAGCTGTTCTCGCCTTGTTCTCGCCTCGCGCGAGGCGCGATCCGAAGAGGGTCAGCCACCAGGAGTTCCTGCGCTTCGTGGAGAACTTGCCAGACGCCCACGGCACGAAGGCGGGTCCGTTCCGGGGACGGCGTCCGGACGGGACGGCGTCCGGGGGGACGGACGTGGGACGCGAGTGAAGCGAAGCCATGAAGGTGCAGATATGTAGGATGCAGATGACAGAAAGGAATCCATCAAGTGTCTCTAAGTGCAGATCAGCCTCAATTGGATTTTGAAACCATTTTGGGTTGACCGGTTTCCAGACGAAAACGCTGCGGGGTTGGGAAGGCCGGGAGAGTAGCAACGGATGAAGATGGGAAGGATGGAGATCTGATGACCATCCCAGATGACTGAGTAGACCTAGGATTCGTGGCTCATCATTGATTCAATCTCAAACAACAATCGTTTACCAAACTGATGCCAATAGTTTTAGAACACCATGTTTTTTCCCTATTTGTTCATTGAATTTCTAGGGAGACTGCCGGACTGCGTGATGCTTGGATGTAGCAGCACGATGCTGGGACGTGTATATAATGCATTGAAATGCTCGAACTTGGCGTTCAGGGAACCCCTCATTCAGCATAATTCAGCCTGGAAGTCGTGGACGTCACTGCTAAGAAGCCTCAGAAGATGCACGAGCACAACGGCACTTTTTTGTACACAACACCTCTATTCGAATCTCCCTTCTTCACGCCAGTTGGACGTGTCCTTTTTTGGTTCGCTCGGATCATCCAGCCGACGGTCCAGCACGATCCAGCTGTGCCAAAAAAAGCCGGTCGCGTTTCGTTTCTGATTCGAGGTGAGCAGTGAGCAGGCAGAGTTGATCTTCCAGGACTTTGAGACCAGCGGGATGGAGAAGGTGCATTTCTTTAAGGCCGTGCCTCGGTCGGAAGGTCGGACAAAAAGAGGTCAAGCCAAGCTGTTGGACGTATATGTCAACAGCGGCACAGCTGCACATGTGAACCATTAAGTTGGGTTCTGTCCCAGGGTAACAGTCGGTATATGTCAAGATTATCAACTAATAGACTATAACTGTATGAGGAACGCCTTTGAAACAAAAAAAACAGGAATCATCATCATCATCATCATCATCATCATGATCATCATCATGATCATCATGATCATGGGTATATCCTATCCACTTTCTTCCAGGTCATGGGATAGGATAAAAGAAGCCATATATATATATATCCAAACCGGCCCACTTTCTCCCACCAACCTCGCGACTTCCGCGAACCCCGGAAGCGGTTCAGCGGAAGCGGTTCAGCTGCTGCGCTTCAGATCGCCGGGCTCCGTGGGGCTCTGTCATGACGGTCTAATGGTGGTGGCCAGACGTCTTTGGTGGTGGTGATTTTTTAGTTCCAGCAAACCTTCCAGATGGATCAGAGGAAGAAGATGAATCTGTGCATGAAACGTGCAGATGAGGTTGATCCATCATATGTGAAGAAACACCTTGGCAACTCTCACATTCGGAGAGAGCGAGGGCTTGATCCCTGCTAGTTACGAGATCGACTTTCCACCACGCCGAGAACATGATTCTGAACTTCTTCAACCATGATCATTGAATATCATTGAGGTAGATAAGGAGGTAGATCAGATACCCTTCAAGCAGGTTTCACCGCACCTTCCAACACACACCTTCCAAACCGTGTGACGTCGTTGCGAAGAAGCGGAACCCGGTGGGAACCCCGCGTTTTTGTGATGCTTAAATGCATTTCTGGCATTTGCTGGTATCAAACGTTCAGTTCTGTCATTAAGTAGTTGCTTATAACCGAGCAACCTGATGCAAGTAACCACTTACAAACAAATTAGCACTAACAAATCCTTAAACTACGGAGTGCATGCAAGAACAATCCAATCCAACGAGGGCTTGCAAAAACCTTGAGAGGGGACAAACAAATAGCAACAATGTGTTTAGATCCGTCTCAGGACCAATGACCAACGCATAAGTCGTAAACGATGGGATTCAAGAACTGTATCTTGAGATTTGGACATCCCTCACGTAAAACAATGGGACTTATACAGTTTATATAAATATATAGTGAACCAATTCTCTAAGTATTTCTGTGTCACGGTGGCATGTGTTTCATTTGCACGTGCGTATATATATATATATATGTATAACTGTATAACGTTATTCATGGATATATTTATACACATGGTTTTCCGCCATTGAGGAGGCCCAACCATGCTCCTAGATCAGTCAGAATAGGCTGTGAGAGGTGTGGACGCGTTCTGCTTTCAGCCTCGGCCTCGGGGAATCCAGCGTTCGGTAGCTGGTCCCATATGTAGTTTACCTATGAGGTCTGAACAGACCACCCCCGGGAATGACGATGTACCGAAACGGCCTACCTCCGAAACTCGGTTCGGTGGTTGGGGTGGGTGCCAGATTTGTGCAGATGTTCGGTGTGCCTTCTTTTTCGCGTTCTTTTTGGAAGTCAAACCCCCGATCGAGGGGATTTGGGAACCGTCGCATTCCTCCGCTACAGGAGAATATGGAAAAGGGACTTGCACGCGGGTGGGAGACATGGAAACGTGCGCCCAAAGGCCTCAGAGTTCCACGAACCGTTCCCTTGCCCACGGTGGATTGATCATGCAGTTTTGGCGTCCGGCGCCCCACCCTACCTCCAATAATTCACGAACACAGCACAACCAAAAGAAGTTACCAGGGCCCAAATGGGTGGTTAATGGACACCCCTTAACCTCCTAAGGGGCTATCAATAGAAGCCCCTGAAAAGGGGGGTCCTCATATAATTACGTGTTCTTCATGACCAGCTCCCAGGTGCAAGAGTATGCTGTGTGCATCAAGGAGATTTCCATGACCAGCGATTTTCACATCCAGATCTCCGACCGACTCCGAAAGCTCCTGGCGCAGGAGGCGCGGGCGTGGCGCCGTCGTCGACCACGTTTCCTGCGGGTTTACCTGCAGGAAGCACTGGAAAATGTTTCTCGCTTGTGCAATGGAAATGGAGTATACTTTCCGTTGCACAAGCACGTGTTCATTTGATATACTTTGTTCAGGAACGGTGCGTTTTGGGAGACACATTTCAATGGGGTGTTCCAAACCATTGTTTGGTTGTTGGATCTCCTTGCACCTTCTCCCCCACACCCCACCCCACCCAATAGTCCGGTGGTTGTAGATTGCCTGTTGGTTGAGTCAATGTTCTACTCTTCAGAGCCTGCTGTTACCCTTCCCCCCACCCCTCCCATTAAATTGTTTGGTGGTTGAATCTCCTTTCACCTGGCCCCCTCTGAAAGTGCGCAAGTGAGTGTTCGGTGCACAAGTGGGTGCTGGCCCCGATGGTCACACATCGAGGAATCCATTTGCCCAACAAATCCCAGTTCCTGTCGATCATGTTGAAATCTGTTTTCTTTCATGCAGCCAATTTCTTGCAGACCAGCTCCGATACCCTCTCCCACCTTCTGAGGAGGTTTTTCTCGCTCCAGTGTTCGATCTCGGGAAACACACAGTACTGGAGAAAGGCCCAACTGATCCTTTCTCGATCCTCCCGGATGTCCACCGATCACTTGTTGCGGTTCGACCGGCCGGTCCAGTCTTTGACGCTCTGAACGTCAAACACCGACCCCAAACCGGTGGCAACGGCCACGGCAGGTCATGACCGGACTTTTGTGCCTCAGTGACCGTGAAAAGCCCATGTGTGGTTGTTTAAGCCCACTCATCCCAAAAGAGTTTTGTGACTACAAGTCTCCCCCAACCTGCGCAGTTCCCCGTGCCCAATGAAGTTCATCTTGAGAGGCTTGATTGGGAAATCTGGCAGACCAGGACCGTCTTCCCCCAGTCCCCAGTCCAGCAACTACACGAAACAGGACGGAATAGGAGGAAATAGACCAAGGAGCCAAAGGCGTGCCAAAGACATATATTTCATACTTCTCCTATCTTCTCCTCTTAGGTCATCCTTTCACATATTTCATCCTATTATTTATTGTTAGAGCCAAAGACATAAATCCAAAGGACACCAGGTTTCCGGTGTCATACTTCTCCTCTTGGTTTGCGGGTTTCTGCCCACATCCCTTGGCCTCTTGGCTTCGCTCGAAATCGATGTCAACCTGCCGGGACCTGGAGGTGGTGGAGATCTTCGAAGGCCCCAGGGATGACGAGGAGGCACGGAGAGGTGTCCAGGCGCTTGGAGCGCTTGGACGTTTTGATCTTCAGGAATAGGCAAATCCCTAGGGCTCCAGGCTCCAGTCGTACCTCCTCAGAAGGTATTTGGACCCTCTAAACCCACCCTAGTCCCACCTTCTCGGAAGGTACGACTGGAGCCCTGTAGGGAATGGCACATTCGTCATAGAAAAGTGTGGTGACGACTTAGTCAAGTACTTGAAACTGTCATCAGTCTTCGTGGTGACTGTGCATAGCGGGTCGCCAGTACCCCAGGCTTTGTTTGGTCTGTTCTACTTCAGTTTGCACAAGCAGAAACTGTGACCCGGAGCATTGCCCCTTGAGTATACTGAGTATTTCCTCTGGATTTGGTCATAATGAAACAGTTGAATCCAGGCCAGGTGTATTTTGCAATGAAGTAACTATCAATGTCAGTTCCACGCGTTGCACTGCACTACTCCTCCCAAACTACTACACCTGAGCTTCTCCACATTTCCACAACCCAACAATTACAGTACAACAATTTATCATGTATCATCATTTCTTCATTCCCGGCCAACCTTTGGCTGATAGATATTATAAATATAGATAAATGTCTCTTGTTCTTTTCCAGACCTTCATTCTTCAACCATCTCCAGTCCCACCAGTCCTTCTCCGGTGAACACCTTACTCACCGCAGGCGGCGGTGCAGCGCGTGCGCTGTCGAGCGCTCAAGGATGGGCAAGTGGGATGGGTCACCACCAAAGGCGCCGGCCGTGCCGCGTTCTGCGCCGCGTTCCGCGTTCCGCGTGCCGCGCGGCGTGTGGAACGAAGGAAGAACAGCAGTCTACGTCAACGAAATAAGTCATGGCGGAGGGAGCGGTACTTCTTGGTGCTTTGGTTGATGGCTGCTATGGGTTTGATATGGTTTGATGGCTGGTGAAGGTAGGAAAAACGCCTTTGAACGGACCGGAGCGCACCTTGTTCTCACACCATGGTCCGTCACACGGCCAAAAGACACGGTCGCACCGTGGATTCCAGAGCTTCGATTGCGGGGTGGCTGAAATGGAGAGACTTTAAAGCTAGTATCTTCTAAAGTGGCGGGTGAGCTGTTGGAGGGATCTTCTTTTAGTTAGATAGGTCACCAACAAGGTCAGCTCCTCAGCTGTACCGACCGGATGGATCCCATTCACCGCTGGGGGCCTTTTCCAAGATGGAGATGGCCCAGGAAGTAAGGAAGTTGGATTGGTTTGGATCCAGAATGGTGGTCTATGATGGTCTATGATGGTTTCTGACAACCCATTATAACATGTGAGTATCCTCAACCAGCTACATGTGCAATCATCTTCAGATGGACTAAACTCAGAAACTCGACCCATGGCATGCTTTCTTGCACGCCTTGGCCATCCTTAGCTTCGTTCGTTCGTTCGTTCGTTCGACCACCCCCTATGGCGGCGAGGCAATCAAGGCACGGCGTTCCTGAAACCTCGGGACGCTGGGCCATTGGAAGATCGCCATTGGTTTGCGGTACATGTTCAGGATTGATCATGAGATACGGCAGCAAGATGATGAGATACGGATCATTAGGGGCAGCAAGAGCATGAGAGATGGCTGAACACCCTCCTTGGATGGGCAGGGATGAGCAGGGATGAGCTATACGGCTATACGGAACCCCCGGACTTCCAACCCCAGCAACTTGGGCAGTCACATCCTTAAGACCGACCGTGGCCCTCAGAATGAACGGTTTGATGTGGCTTCCCCCCTTGGAATCCGCCAGTGGCTACGTGATTTGATGAGGATGCCGGGCTTAGAAGTCCCGAACTGTAGGAACACCAAGCAATGTCTCGAAAACTGATATGCTGCCCCATGAAACGACTGGTCAAACAGGAACACCAATTCGGGTTGTTGGGTCTTGTTCTTTGAGCCGTCACCGCTACAGTTGGTCCAACCGAGAAAACCTCCCAATCCAAATCCAAACGGTTCACCTCATTCGCAACTCCAGGGAGGCATGGAACCATAACCCAAACACTCCTGCCATATATTATATGCCGATCAATTGACCCCCAGTCAACCACCCCTGGCCTGATCGGCAGTCCTATGGCAGTCCCATGGAGGATCATATCGGGCAGATTCTTTCATGACCCAAGACCCTGTTCACAAAATGGTCGGCCCAGCACCATGCGAAACCACATGACCCAGACTGTCAGACCCACTTGCATCAACCTGGTTTTGCTTTAGGGTAATGCATTTTTGCGATCTGGATGAATGCCCTGGCATGGGGAATATGATATTTTTAGAAAATACAGCTTCCTTAAGCAAGTCCAAAAGAACAAGTCCACTTTCCTTGCTTCAACTCCGAAACTTCCCTCCAATCCCTTCATTTCTCCGCTTCGCTGCCGGCCTGAGGAGAAGCCGGTGCTGCAGGTGCTGAGGGAGGCGGACCTTCGGGAGATGATGCCCTTGGATGCAGCCAAGTTGGGGCAACTGCAGGTGCGACACGCCGTGATGCCAGTTGAGCGTGCGTGGAGGAACGGGGAGCGACCTAGTGGAGTAATTACGAGAGATAAGAGATGAAGTTGACTGGTTCAGGCCTTTGTAGAAAAGGGTTATGTTTCCGGAGTAAACTTACTTGGTTGTTTGCCAAATTCGAACTCCGGCCTTTTTGCGTTTTTTTTTTTGAACCTCCGGCCTGGCCACGCGTGGCGCTCGGAATGGCGTTTTTTCCACAGATCTCCGAAGCCCCAGATCTCGAACTCGCAGATTCAGACTCTATCTCTTTGGCTGAATATTGCTCGGTCCCCGATAGGGATCCAGTCGTAGCTCCTCAGAAGGTATTTGAACCCTCCAAACCCAGCCCAAACACCTTCTCAGAAGGTACGACTGGATCCCTAGGGGGTATGAGTCGACTCGAACTCCGGGAGTTGTTCCTCGAGAATGTTTGACCCGAGACAGACCGATGTGATCCAAGACCTGGACCGATTTTACACGTCCTTGGAGACGACCATGGCCATATGAGTACAGGATAGTACAGGAACAAAGGTCGTCCAGGTCCGGAGATCATGTAGAGGCGGGTGGTGGTTTAGCAGCATGGCCTACTTGGCATAGCCATAGCCTATAGACCCTGGAATTGGTTTCACATCCCAAGAACATCCAAGAACCATGGCTCTGTGGAAGCGATGCTGTAGCGGACATTTGGGGGCTACGGTCCACTCATGGATGAGATTCTTGCAGTAAATTACTGTTCATCCACAGGAGATACGAAAAGGTCAATTGGGACAGGACATTTCGATGTATTTCGATGACTTTTCCTTGTTGATACCGGTACTATACCCTTTTCAGGGGTGCCATCTCTGGTCTCCGAGCACTACAACAAACGGGAAGAGTGGAGCTGCGCAGGTGGACGAGAAGTTGGAGCTACTGGAAGGCGCAACTGACAGGGTGGTGCCAGCCATTTGGGGGTTCACGTTCAACAGGGTGGTGTGAATTTTTGGATCATGTGCAGTTTTGTTGGTGAATGTGGTGTTTGGTGACCAAGTTGAGAAACCAGATGGCATGAGTCACCTATAACCTGTACACCCTGGAAGATTAACATGGAATCTGAAAAGAGATCTTTGGAAGACTATTTTCCTTTGCAACCCAGTGGTTTTCAGGCTTTGCGCGTTAATCTTATTCCAGGGCGTAGAATTCCGAGTGCAGGGTCGTAGACCGCTGCTTCGGCCGTTGAAAGCGGCACCGGACCGAGCTTCGTCCGCTCGTCACCCTGGTCATCCGGCTGTGAGGCCCAAGGGAGGAGACCTTTCAGCCGCAGATTTTCCTCCAAAGCGACGATGGCTTCGTGTCACTCGAGGCAGACCGTGAGACCCGAGACCGAGACCGACTCGACCGGACGGAGATGGAGAAGAAACGGTTTCAGTCTGAAACAGTCGTTTTGATTCATGTGTGTTTAAACATGTTTAAATCATATTGATTCATATTGAACATGTAACGCAGTGCGAGGTCCCGGTTGGGGGCCAACGTGTCAAGCTGTTTTTGTTGATCGCTGTATGGAGGATGATCCAGAGTGTGCAGCTGGCATCTCTCAGAATTCGTCAAATGAGGCAACATGCCTTTTGTACCAATGGCAGCATCCACCAGGAGTCTTCCTTATAGAGAACCGTTTATCTAATCAAAATCACGTGCCATGACCCAGGAACACTATCACTGTGATTTCACAACATCCTCAAGACTATCACGACGCTCCCAGCATGGAGGAAAAAAGCTTTGCTGATTTGCTTCGGTCCTCACCTCCAAGGTTTATATCTAGCTCTCCCAGGTCCACTGCCGGACATCTTCGTCTCGGGCGCCGGTGACCTCCTCTCCCGGCTTGTCCCGCCTTTACCTCGTGACCGGTCCGGTGCTCGTACCTTCTGTTCGTTGTTGTTATGCATATTTGGTTGTCTATGAATATATATATATATATATATACCAGGGCCCCCCAAGGGATGTCCAATTATGGCTCCTTAGAGGTTAAGGGGTATCCATTAACCACCTTTTAGGGGGCCTGGTACAGAATTCAGAATGATCAAGAAACAAACAGCCGGTACTGTTGGCAATTGGTTGATTTGGTTGGACGCCACGTCATCAGAACTTACAAACCGCCCCCTTCAGCAGGACTCCACCACCCACCCCGTGTCTTGTGCCGTGGAGGCTCTTGAAGCCACGGGCACCACTTGCAGCACGAAGCACTTTGTGTGTCGGGCCACCATCGCCATGACCGATGTCCATGACATCTCCGACTGCAAGGTGTTAGGCGTCTCAGATGCGAACAGATGAGGGCCAGCAACCCCGGCCAACGCATGCGCATGGAGTTCGAAAGACCCGGATACCAAGAGGCCTGTACCAGGAGCATTCTGTCATCCTGGCTGGAGATCCCGAAGAAGTAGTGGGCTTGGGGGCGATCCAGCCAGGTCACCCAGACAGGATGCTCCTGGTGGTGGCTGTGACTTTCGACCAAAAACCGCCATCCCTCTGATCCGTCCGATCTGCATGTCGATTCCACGTTCCGATTCCACGGTGCGTCTCCTCATGATTCCACGGAACCCGTCGCGAATTCCACGGAACCCGTCGACTTCGCTTTCAGGTAAGATCCACGTGGGCGAGCTGCTGGAAGCCGTGGACGAGCCCGAGCCACCCCTGGTGGACGACGAGGCGGCCCCGGCCACCACGTCCGGCCGCGTCACGCAGCCGTCCTCGACGTCCTCGGGGTCGAAGACGTTGCCACGGCGGCGGTTTCGATCGAAGACCCTGGAGAAGGAGGGTGCCTTGGATGGAAGATGGAGGGCGTGAGGGCAGAGTGACGAGGGCAGCTACCTTTTTTGCCCAGACTGGGAGGAGGGCAGCTGGAGACTTATATAGATTGTTCAAGGATTGTTCAAGGTCGCGGAGACACGTGGAGGTAGATTGATTGGAGATTTCTCAGAGAAGGTCAGTGGAGAAACCCACCCCCCAACAAAAGCACCAATTGCTTTGGGTAATTAGTTGATTCTCCAAGAGCAGGAAGGGTGAAAAGCAAACAAAGAATTGACGCATGATGTGCCCATGGCTGTGTACCGTATGTGCCTTCCAGCCATCTGGGAGAGTGTGACTCACGGAAGAGGGTCGGATCTTTGAGAGAAGGTCGGCCATGCATGCATGACATTTTAATAATATGTAACATGTTTCAGGGCTGAAGCCCCCTGAAAAAATAAGTGTATTCCAACATATTCCAACCCACTATATAGTAGCAGATAACTATAGAATGCATTAGAATACTATAGATGACTACTGTAGTTGTTTGAACAATCTGCAGCAAGGAACCTGGGTTCCTTACATGATCATAATGAAATTATATGTATGATTGAATATGTGTAAATCAATATGATAATAGATCCCTCCAAGTCAATGACCTCGTTGAACTTGTTGATTTCAACATGGAGAGATTGAAAACTTGTTGCTTTCATAGAACCTAGTTTCATAATTGGTCCCGTTAAAGCCTAAATAGTTTTCCACCTCTCCTCAGAGGTGGTTTTCAACAAAATTGGAGGGAAGCAGGTTAGGAACCACTGGAGTCTTCCGCAGCTGTGTATAGCTGTGTGCTCGTTTTATCTTATGTTTCCTAAAACATAGACCTAGGACATCCTAGGACTGATCAAAGTGTGCTCATTTTTGCAGTGAACCCAATTTGATGACATTCCAGGGATGGCATGGGATGACCGCACATGTGCATGCATGGCTTCCTGGCTTCGACTGTGTGCGTCCGGATGCGGAGAGCCATAGCACACCACTGGAAAGGCTGGAGACCTATCGTCGAAAATGAAGGTGCACATGGCATGTGTTTAAGCAGGGGTGGACATGCAGTGGGACAGGGTGCTTGTTTGATGGCAAGTGGCTAAGCCAAGAACCGCAACAATTAAAGTCCTTGGAAGTGGGTTTGAGCAAAATTGGAGGCCGGCCTGGCTAGGAGTTCTAAGAGCCGGTTGGAGGATGAGGCAGGGGATCCGCATGGAGGAGCTGGCCAAGAGGATTGGTGTGCCAGCAACTCGATGCAGTGGTAAAGTCATACATGAGTTCAACTGCAGTTGGCCATACAAGGACCAGGTACTAGTGCTACTGAAGGGCCTTTGGATGAGATCACTTAGGGCACAGCCGAAACTGTATGAAACTGTACGGAGATCAGCCAAGAAGAAGTACCATAAGATGATGAGGAAGGGCTTGGCATGCCAAGACAGCACACTCGGAGCATCTGGGTCGAGTGCCACCAGTTGGTCAGCGTCAAGAGGGCGGTTGCATTGCAACTTTGCTCCTGAGCCACCTCCATAAGATTTCCTTCAAAGCCATCCTTCTTCCACTTCGGGGGTTATTCTGATGAACTACCAGACTCTTCAAAAACAAGGCATTGACCTGGAGGTTGTATATGGAAAATTTGAAGCCCTGGTCGACCAAGCAGCGACCCACGTCTCCTGGCCTTGACCCAGCCAAGCTTCCAGCGGGTTGACTGACCAAACAGCCCGCTCCTTCGAACAGGTCTGAGTCCTTCAGGCCACCCTGATCTAGCAATGATCCTACTACGGTTCTTGGCCTAGCCTAGCCATCCAGATCCCTCCTCAGAACCATTCTTTTGGCCCTGCATTGTCTATTTTGAAGGGGGATCCGATTGACCGATTCGCGATGGGCCCATCTCCTGCAGCCTACCCCTTCTGTGGCCACCAGAGCTCAATTCCTCGCGAGAGCAAACCTGCAAAATCTACTCTTTTGGGATGGTTCCACAGCATCCTGTACTGGTATCTAGATTGAGGCGGCGCAGGGTCCCACGGAGCTGGTATCCAAGGTTCCCACTGAGTTCAGCTTTGTGGATGGGGAGAGTGGCCTGGATGGGAAGACGTTCGAAGAAGACACCTTCTGCACAGACCTTCGGCCACTTGAGAGCCATCAAAGCCAGTTTCATGTTCATTGGTTCTGGATGGTTGTGGTTTTGGGGCTGTGTCTGGGTGCGACCCTAGTCTCAGCTTTGGCATTGGCCAGCGCAGTCCGCGCCGGTGGTGGTCTAAGGTGACCTTTGCCATCCAAAATTGTTAATTTTCCAGCGCCGATATCTTCAGCCACCTAAACTCGAGTCAGGGTTCAATGTTGTAGGACACTCTTGTGGAAAACTCTGGTCTACTCTTGTAGAACTGTGTCGGACGCTCATGTAGGACACTCTTGTCGGACACCCTTGTGGGACACTCTTGTGGAAAACTCTGGTGATGTGACTGCCGAATGGGGCGTTGCGCCCACTACTTGATCTGGTCGCTGCCACCTCATAGCGGGGTGCTAGACCCTTTGACCTGTACTGCGTATGTTGCCTCCGGGTTGAGCAGCTGTTGGAGTGTCTGGGACTATGTTCGCTGAGATGAAGGGGGACTGGCCATGGCTGCGAAGATCTCTTCACTGGGAATCAGGCGTGCCATCACTGCCATGCAACTGTGTGTGTGTAACCCTTGGTCACAGGGATACATTTGGATTGTTACGTTTGCTTGAGGAGCACCATTGCAAGCTCCTGCCAACGAAGACACTTGAATTGGTGGTGATACCAGACTTGGTCAGTCTGGCGTACCTGCAGTGATGACTTGACATTACCTCTCGGGCCCCTTTGTAGCTAGAACAATTTTTTTCCAGCCATTGCAGCGGTTCTCAGCGGCTGCAGATGTGCGCGTACGCCGTCGTGAACTTTGGAGTTTCTTGGTACTCTTGTGCTCTTAGGCATTCACACCTAGGTGGGTGTGTGGCGTGTGGCATTCAGATCAGTATGCATTTCTATATGTGTGGCTTCACGGTCAACAGGGCGGTGTTGATCTCACTGGTGCGAGGTGGGTTGCTTGGAGACCCAGGAATGCTGGAAGGCTGCCTGATTACCGCCTATAGTTTCATGGAGGAAGGGCAATCAGGTGAGACCTCACACCCGCTTCAGAGTGGGGCAGGTTCCTCTTCGATCTGCATTTACATCCCTACAGGTTGAAAGACGAAGTTGGCAACCTGATCCTTTACCTCATTGAATGGTGTTTTTGCATGACCTACTACGTATAGTCAAACCTGTAGGGGCAGATCTTTCTGTTCATGTGGGGGAAACTTTTGAAGCACAGATGACAGGTAACCCCATATCTCCATCCATTTTTTGAAACCATCAGACGACAACAAAGCATCAATCCTAGGTGGAAAACTTGGTCATGGGTCCTACTTTGTGGTGAACGCCTGGAATTTCAGGGTGGTGTTGGAGTTGGAGTGGCTGAACGACTGCGCCTTAAAAGCAGCCATGAGAGACCTACCACAGCCACGTGATGTTACTGTCAAACTGGACGGATGATTTCATACTGGGGTACCTGCACCAAGACCAGTGCATAATCTCATGCGCTTCAGGACCGAACTCTTGGCAAGTAGCTGTGGCCAGATGACCCCTTGATGTATTACAGGGCTCCAAAAGTTATGTTGCCAGCTGAGGCTATTAGTCATGATGTCAGTTTCCGAAATGATGTGGCCAGCCTCATTCCCTGCTTGCACAAGGCAAGCAACTTTGCGAATGGTTTGGCCTGTGTGAGAGATTTGGCGTGAACTTTCCCTGTAGCTGTCGAAGCCATCTCCCATGGGGAGCCACCAGAAGTTGATGCTTGGCCAGCGGTTGTTATAGGAACTCGGAAACCGCGCACTTGGTCAGGGACGTCCGCTCCAAGGGAGAGATAAGGATTTGGGCTGACGCCCAGCACGCTACATGCCTTCAGGGCCAGCCAGGGCGGTGCTTCAGGGGCTCGGATTGGACAAGGGTGGAGGAAAATGGAACCGTCGAAGTCCTAAGCGCAAGGGGTCTGGCTCGGCTCCGTCGGGACCTGCTCAGCGTCAACGCACCTGAAGGACATTTTGCTGCTGTGTTTCGTCGATCGTTGCTGACCCTTGCGGTTTGTTCGGTGTCGAGAGGTGCTGTCCTCTCTCTGACTAGCTTCCGGAGGGCGCCGTCCCTCTTGGATTGGTTTGGCTGAGGGGGCTGTCCCTCAAGCCTCTGCCTGCTGCCCTTTTTCCCTCTGCGGTTCTGTGGCTGGGTTGCTGTTTGCTATGGTGGTTTTTGTGACTTCCTCGCCAATTGTTGCGGTTGATGCTGTTGTGGGGGGTTCGGGTTGCTTCTTTTGTGTTGTTTTGTTGGGTTCCCTTTGTCTTTTCTGTTTGTTTGTTTCCCTCCTCTCCCCCTCTTCCAGCTTTGCTGACAGTTTTGGGGTGGGGCTGAGCTGTGGGTGCTGGGGCGCCGTTGGCTGCGGGCCCCCTTGTTACCCTCTCCCCCACTTTGTTGTTTGTCTGGGTTGCTTCTTGCGGTTCGCTTCATTTGTCCCGCTGTTTGCTCTGACCGTTTTCCCGGTCCGCTGACGTTCAGGCGCGTTCGACGTGCCTGCTTACTTTTGCGTTTCACTTTGATTGGTTATTCTTTTTCTGAGTTTTGGAGGAGTGTACGAATCTGTACGAAGGAATGCCCGACTCGGGCGATATCCTATTACCACGCTTGAGGTGTGCAAAGGCACGCGTGTGCAGAACAGGTCGGTTCTCTAATTGCGCAGTGTGCGCAGGTTGGTTCTCTCATTGTGCAGTATCTACTTGCCAGGAACTCTCTGCTTTTGCCTAAAATGTCTTTTTCTCCTCAGCTCGCATGTGGCAGGATCGATATGGATGTGGCGCGGCGATGATGACCATGCAAGGGCAGGCAGTTCGGATCTGACGTCTTCTCACTATGATCAACTCCCTAAAGGGTTAAGGAACCCATAAAACATCGCTCATGAGGGTAACGTACCAGGTTTTACTGAGTCTTGATATTTTTTGGCCTCTCATTCCAGATTTTCCTACATTCTGGCAGGATCTATACGTGGGCTCTCTGTGGTGACGCTGCTGTGGAGGATACAAAAGAGCGCGTGTTCCGACAAACGCGAGGTTCAAGTTAAACTTGTTCCTTTTCAAGTGACCTCCTTTAGCGAGGACTTTGGACTTGCAGGGAATAACTATAAAACACATAAAGATAAATACATCAATAAAGATTAATATATTATATATATACGTACATGTTTGTAGTGGTGCCCACTCGAGGCGAAGGCAAGTTGCGCAAAGACAAGGGAATGTCGTCATCCCTCAGTTTGTAGCGGGTATACCTGGACAACTGTGATGCGGTAGAGAAAGTGGCAACCGGTCTCACTATGCAAATCAAGGGAACTGTGAAGCCCCAGGTCGAGGCGTTGCGTGACCGTTACACTGCCTATGGTTTGCCCCGTCACCTCAAGAAAACGGCTGAGAGGGTGACTTTGGGAGAGACAGGGTGCTTTCCTAGATGGTGAACAGGGTTTTGCTATGCCAAAACCTCAGAAAGTGGTCCAATACTGCAAGTTGTGCTTTGAACTCCTGAGCAGAGGCCAGAGCACCCTCCAGGAGTTACATGTTGTATGTGGCGGCTTTGTGTATGTGGCAATGTTTCGAAGGGCTTGGCTCAGCAGTTTAGACCACGTGTTTCAACACATGCAGGCCTTTGAACAGGAAACCTCGGTCGTAAGGTTGCCCCTGCCCTATCTGGTCAAAGTTGAGATTGCTAGGTTCATCCTGCTTACACCCCTAGTTCAGATGGACTTTCACTCGGAGGTTGATGGTGAGGTGACTTGTTCAGACGCGTCGAACGTCGGTGGCGGCATGACCTGGCATCCAAGGCTGGGTCACACTGCAGGGCAATGCAGGTGCGGAGCTCAGACAATGTCAACAGATGTGTCCCCATGGCCCATGCCGCATAAACACTAGTCCCCCTTCATGCGTAGACGTTTCACATTTTTAACAGACAGGTCTTTGATGCAGACTTGATTTTTTTGTTTGAATAGGATATTCAAACCATTTTTTGTGGTGATTGTAGTTAAAAAAATATTCTTACACTCCAGGCTCACCATCCGTTCCTTGATTGGGGTAGCTAAGTAGGAAGAGTAGGCAACAGTTGCCCATACACAATGACGACACCGAGCATTTGGCCAGTGGCCAGACCCATGCACAACACCAGTGGGATTTCGTGGATCATGTTTGGGTCTTTCAGTGGCGCAGAGGGCAGTGGCGCTCCGCGTGACCGCTCCGCGTGACTGGAGGCACGGTCTACCTGGAGCAAAGTGTCCAGCACTTTGTGCTCTGTGGGCCTGTGCCGTTGCTGAGCTCGCCTAACAAAGACGGCCTCTTAAAGCGGATGTGGCCCGGCGTTGAAGAATTGTTTGTCATGGAACTTCACATGGTGACATGGATAGCATGGCCCCGAAAGGAGGAGCATCTTGCGAAGACCCAAAGGTTTTTGTTTTCCACTTCCATGTGAGTTCCAGGGAGAGAAACCGTTTCGTCCAACACCCGCCACACGCGAGAAACCAAGAAACCGCGCAACCAACGGACCTGATAGACGGCGATGTCGCGCGATCGAAGAAACAGGATCGAGATGTTCTTCGTTTAGTTTCAAGAATAACATCTTAAAACCATATTGTTTTTTAGAGGGGTGATATGTTGTGATATGTTACTCCGAACTGGGTGAAGCCCCTTACAAGACTTCGAATTTGGGGAATGGTTTGATGTTCTCATTCGGCTTCCTTCCTCAGCACATGTTTCCGGGATGGAGCTTTGGGATCCGATGATTGGAACCGCGAATCACTCTGAGCCAAGGTTGGAAGAAGGAGAGCTGTTGGCGGTGAAGCAGAAGGCATGAAGCTTTGAGTGTGTGACATGCAGATCGTGGTTCTTGACGTGCAAGCCGATGAGATTTCAGAGGATTAGACGTGTGGGCTGCCTCCTGTGCGGGCGGTTTCCGCAAGGTTGATCACCATGAAATCGTACCCCACAGTGTGTAGCAGAGCAAGTTCATTTTCCGAACCACATTCCTGGCAGTTTGCATGAATGGTCCTCTACCACTCAGTTTGCTCTAAGAATTGGCCAGCCTGCCAGTGATTTCCGTTTGTTTCCAGAGGATCGCCTCCACGAGGATCACCTCCACCACAATCAACTCCAGGTTTGCATCTCCAAAGATCAGTATAACCGTATAACCCTTCTGCCCCAACCTATCTCTGAGAAGGTCCAAGACGATCGGAGACACATACTTTTCACAGAGGCATCTAGGCTCCAAGTACCTCCCTGAGAAGCTCTGTGGATCCATAGGGTGCAGACATGCCCGGGCTCGGGCTCCCCCCCGCGGTCGCAGAGATCCACCAGGAACCCTACCAGTTGAAGTCCCCACGCATGTCGGAGCCCCGACTGCTCTACCGTAAAGGTGGATGACAGACTCCCCTTTAAGCAGTGTTTGCACTTTCATCCATTGCGCATCATCTTCGAATTATCTTCTAGCTGCTTTTGGGACCTCCTTGCGGGGTTGACTCACACCGCGGCCGCCAACGTCGGCGGCCGCCTCCGACGGTACGTCGCGCCACCGCGACGTCGACGTGGACCGCGAGGTCACCAAGACCATTCCGCCGCAAGTCATGATGCAGGCGACCGCAGCACCAGAGAGGAGAATGGCTGCTTTTTGTCCTATGGTCGCGCGGAAGTCCTGTGGGTAAGCAGATTCACGGGGGGATGAATAAAAATCGATGTTCCCTCAATTTTTTTTGCTGGTGTCCCCAAATTGAAGCACTTGGGAAGGCTCTCAATTGCCTTGTTGGAGCATCAGTACCCCCTTAGGTACCATTTTGGGGGAGGGACCTAAAAATATGTAATTTACAATTTTCGAGGGACCCCACAAATGTGTGTTGACCCCCCGTCGTTTTTGGCCCTATTTAATTAAGTCGAGGCCATATTCATGGTCCCCCCGGATTGCTGTGTGTTGCTTGCGTGTTCCTGGGAATTGACCAAGAAGATTTGATGTAAGAAGGTAAATTCCTAGCTTATAGCCTTACTGCAGCCTTCCTAGCTTACAGCAGCTTGCTTGCTTGCGTAATACCAGGTAAATTCTTAAGTTCCTATGGCTCTTTAGATTGCTTTTCTATGGTTTTCTGGTGGCCTAACCCAAGGCAGCTTACATTGTCCTGTCTTTGAGGGTGATCTGATCTGAAACAAATGCAAGATAATTTAAGCATATGTAAGTGAATCTTTTAAGGCTAATTAAAAACACATAAAATAAAACAAAAATAATTCACAAAAAAACAATGTACGCTTACATTTTTTGACGTTCACTTTCCAGGCGCCCCCCAGATATCCCCAGATATTGTAACTTACATTTGTTAGGTCCCCTCCTAATAGGTAGGGATGTTGGAACAACGATAATGATGACTATGACTATACCTGTTTTTTTTTCACGATTTGTTTGGTTGCACAAGTGGATAGAAGTCCATCAATCTATGTGTGATTCATGCTTACAGGGGTACTTGGGGTGGGTGAGTTTCTCATTTGGGAGTGACATGGAGTGACTAGTCCCATCAGCTTTGGGCATCCCAGTCCCGTCAGGTGAGCGTGGAAACAGCCAGTTGGTGATGTAGAATCTATAGTGGATTGAGAATCGATGGCACAGACCCCAATGTCGGTGTTTTCTACGGACCCGCATCTGTCTAGGACATCACGGGGTGGTTTGTGCCATTTCTCACCTCTGATGGCCCACTGTATGTCATCAGATCCACTGGACGTGATGGGTCTTCACCCGGTTCCCGCTTCGATTGCTTCACATGGCCCCCCCGCCCCCTTCGTCCGCATCCAAGTGGATGTACCAGATCCTTTTCGGGGGTCCTTTAGACCACAACAAGAAGGGTGAGTGAAGGAGATATGATATCCATGGAAATATCCTGTACAATATGGCTTTATATTGGATTTAGATTCATAATATCTATTGAAATGGAGGCTATACAACCTTCCCTTGGCTCTACAACATCCTCTTCCCTTGGTTGATCGAACAACACTTGGCGGCGATTCGCCTCAAACGTCGCCAGGTCCGCTCCTTGGACGATGCAAGAAGGAGCGGATGGTTATCCTTTGTAGCCGGGCCAGACGCGCCAGTGAAGCCATGGGTGGAGCGGAGCAGTGCAGGTTGAAAAACGAGTGGCTTGCTGTGGCTACAGCCGTGGTCGGCTAGCCGTGGATGGGGCGGCACACGGCCGGCTTTTGAGGTTTTTGAGGGATTGGATCGTACGGACTTTTTCTTTATTTTTCAGGGAATGATTGGCCACCCGAAATGAGGACATCCGGGATGCGAACAGGGTCACTTGGTAGGCAACTTGGTAGATGATGCTGTTGCCTTCTCATCACGGGGCAGCTGTAGATTTGGGGCCCTTGGGAGTGAGAGTGAGAGGTTGGGAGAATTCTTGCAAGCTGAAGACTGGGATGAGAAGCATTCTCTAGACCAAGGCCGACAGTTTGGTGGAATTTCCGAGCCACGGCGTTTTGCCAGGGAAACAGATGGAAGACTGTCACTACGGACGTCCACGTACTCGACTTTTTTACTTCATGAATGCTGGGCCTTCCTCAGCTTCAATGCCCATTCTCTATTTGCTACCCGCCTGGGTGTCTCAACACCCCGGGGCCCTTTGGAACTCCTGGTTTCTATGTTTAACTAGACGTATAGAGATACTGTAGTCAGTAGTCCATAAATCCACTACCAGGAGCATCCTGTCTGGGTGTCCTAGATGGAGATCCCCAAGTAGTTGTAGTGGGAGCAGTGTAGTCCGGACAGGAACCCCCAGTCAGGTTGCTCCTGGTACAAATGATGTCGACATCTTTGAACTCCTTGCTGACGATTGGGTGGTGGCTGTGACTTTCGATGGAGTTTGGCTGGGGTCCGGCTCTGGATCATGGCACCCGGATCCCAAAACTAGAGTAGGTTGACCTCCTGTAGGTCATCCATTCTGTTCATGTTCTTTGGTCAGGTAGCCAGGTGTCATGACCCACAGCCATTGGACTCCCGGCGCGAACCGAGTGGCCGAGACGGTGTGACCGACTGACCAACTGGGGAGGACGACGCCAATGGCGCGGAAGAGAGGATGTCTCGTTAAAAGTCCACATCTTCTCGGATTGAACAGGATGTTGATCTTGATCATCTTTCCCTTTCAATTGCTGCTTGGACTCTTGGACTGGAGAGTTTTGTGGAGGACACATTTTATTTGGAGTGGTTCACGTGGCTGCACATTTGCATCTTACCTGGTTTGACCAGTCTTGTTCAATTTAATTTGGCAAATGTATGATGGAACGGACATTGACATAGCAAAACATTTGGATGTATAATGTATAGCAATCATTTATCAGATCTCGCCTCACCAGTACAAGAAACTCAGATGGGTATATCATGGCAATTAATTGTATGTAAGTTTCTCATGCCCATACATGCCCATACCGCAACTTCTGTGTCGTTTCAGGTGCAGTTTCAGAGGTGCAGCACATGGCCGTGTCGAGACTTACATGGGTTCTACGTGTTCTTCGTCCCAAGTGACTTAAGTGACTCCATGAAGGGTGCCACTGGATCACCTTGACCTAGACAACCAAGCACGGCCCCAGAGACGTGTCTCTAGTAAGGGGGGATGGTCTGGGTTCCGCGTGTACGACGAGCATGGCTTTCCACCCTGTAAACACCTTCCATGAGGATATCAGTCGAGGCGGACAACACCTGAGTATGAATAGGGAGACCCCCAACCAAAGGGTAGACGATGTTCCTTCTTCAGGGGGTCAGGGGAGAAGTCTCCCATAGTCTCCCTACACAGTCATGTTCACGTCGGCAGAACTCGCCGCTCCGCCGGTGTGGTTTCTTTTTCTCGAAAGTTCAAGCTGATGAAGGCGATCTTCCATTAGCCCAAGTCGAAGGTGCTACGGATGTTTTGCATTTGGAGGGCCGCGGCCACCCAGAAAAACAAGAGCCATATCCTTCAAAGATTCCGGTTGTTGTAGAAAAACGGAGTCATCGATCGATTCTGGGTCCGGCCGCCTTCAAACTCGTAAACTTGGGCACAGCTCCGCCGTAGTCCAGACTCCACCAGCAGGAGAAGCAAAGACCAATGACACCCCTTTTGATCCGAAAAGCCTAATACGTTTCCTCGTTCAATCGAATCAGACATGATCTGACCAGCTATGCAAGTCGTGAGGTAAATGCGCCAGCCATGTGCAGACTTTTTCCGCCACAGTTCAGCTGAATCAGTCAGGGATACCTGGCGATAGACTAGCGATAGATGCTTGATCAATCTTGATCATAGACCCAGAAGATGTTTCAATAAACAGTCGCATGGACCTAAATGAAAAGTGCAAGACCCAAGACCTATATGAGCCTCTTTGGCGGCCTTAGACCCAAGCGCCAGCCATGACGCTATCACGCCGCGAGCTGCGCGCACGGAAAGGCAAGCACCTTGCGGTACCAGGTGGTGTCCGGTTGTTTGCATCTTCCTTTTGGCTAATCTCCTTCATGTCACAGGTAAAACTTATTAATTAGAGTATGGTTTGATCCAAAATAATTCAATTGCGTTCAATGTGTATGAAGATGAATCTGTCAAGGCCGCAACGGTCGCCCAGCTTGGCAACGCCACATGAAGGCGCGGTTTGGCGGTTCGTGGAGATCAGAACCACCAGCTGACATGGCCAGCTTCTTGAAGCCGGAGCCAGACACTCCATGGGACTGGAAGATATAATACAGTTATATATATATAATTCTATATTTTATGGTAGTTGATTGAAAGGTCGACATGAGGCCTATGTCATCCTGAGCCTTTGTATGCCCCCTTAGGATGTTCGCGAAAGTGTTTTTAGAGTTCACGAAAGTAAAGATCTATTCGCGAAATGATCCGCGAAAGATGCTATTTTACTCTACAGTATATTAGGACTATCTACTTTATACTTCCTTCACTCAGGAGGAGCTTTGAACCACCAATATAAAGGAATATATATATATATCTAAATGTAATATTCCTTTGCACATAGCATGGCTCACACCTACCATGTAAAATCCTTATAGGCTGAAACTCACTAATGACGCGACGTTTATTTTGGAAAAAGTTTTGAAAGTTCCGCGAAAGCATTGGCGAAGGTGAAAGCCTGTTTTGTGGAACCCTGTCCACATGTAGCCAGGGACTGATTCCACAATATATAGGGGCATGCGGCATGCCATAGCCTATGTCAGTGTTGTCCAAGCTAAGCAGAGAAAGCCCTAGCAAGACATGAGCATGACAGCAGCTACTGTATTGCTAGGGCTCCAGAACACTTCTCAGAAAGTGTTTGGAGTGACTTTTGATCAGAGAGGTCTTGGGGGCAAGTTTTGTCTCAGAGAGGCCCCAGGGCCCCAGGTGCGCGCTGAGGCACTTGCAGGCCCAGATCGCAATGTTTTCTCGCTTGGAGCCGTCAGACATGTCTGAAACGTTGTTCAACCATATGATACAAAGTATATAGTGGCATGCATGGACGCTCTAGATCATACGTGTGCATATGTACACGATCGAAGTTGCTTCGGATCAATGTCTTTTCCGGAGCCATGGGGCTTCTCGAGAGGCGTTCTTGGGGATTTGATGTGTGTGGAGGTTGATGTCGGCAGTACTTGTACATGTGCACTAAGATTGAGATGTGGCAAGCCCTGCGACCCAACTCTGCAAAACCCACTGGCTCAGAGCTTGCGCACGGCCTGAGATGGCACTGGTTGCGGCGTGTGAGAGAGTGATGGCAGTGTGGCCAACACCAAGCGATTAAAGTTCAGGCTCGATGCACCTTGCCTACTTTTGAGTTGTCGAGGGCACCACTTTCGGTTTACGGGCGTGTGAACTCATTATAGAACTGACTTGATCCAAGGCAGTGGGACTTGCCATCCGCCTATGACCTATAGGCATCAAAGTTCTATGGTGAAAGTTCCAAACCACTGGTCATGGAAAGTGAGGAGACATCTGACTGCTTAGGACTTTGTCAAACATGCACTATTGCAACTGCAGAATCGTATACTTTCGATATGCATGCTGTTCGCAAACGGAAATCTGGTCGCCCGGAATTGCAGGAAGGTCTGAGACCTGTGCTCTAGACCTTGGTGTACGTTTGAGACCCTCTAGATCTAGATCGGGAGATTCTCTGCTGACATGGAGGCCAACTATGAGCTCATGAAGGTCCTTTGCTGTGTCGCACTTCAGCAAAAAGTTGGGCACAGGGCTTGCCACATCTCAAGGACTTGCAAGCTTCTTGTCCAAGCTTACTTTGTGGATTGGTATCTGCGAACATGTGCAGCAGAAGAATCCACTTGTACTCAGATTTGACTTCTTTAGCCCATCATTGTGGAGCGGTCGAGTCGTGAGAAGTCAACAATAGTGCGTATGACATTGAACTGCATTGGTGTTATTGATCGTTGTACCAAACATAGAACAGACTAGGTCATATCTCATCTCCGGGTTGCAGGTGCGGTACGCAACCCTTCCCACCCGTTTGCCGTGCAGGACGCGCGTGACATGAGCTTTCTTTAGAATTGTTTGCGCGTATGTGTAGGACTGACCCGGTTTGCATCCCGTTTGCATCCACTCCCCTTCATCCCACTGATTGGATTGGGTCTGAGCTTGAGCCACCCGTCTTTCAGGAGGAACCAACAGTGCTGGAGCCTTCACTGCGTGAGTGTTCGACAATCTTTTGGTAATGCAGTTGAGGCTTTTTTGCGTCTACAACCTGTGCCTCTTTCCAGAAGAGGGTGGCAACTGTGCGTACGCGACAGAAATCTTTCCTGTACTGTGTGCACATATATTGGCCGGGCCGATTGACTGCCTTTGTGTGTGGTTGCAAGCTCAAACATGAGACTCAGGTGATCAGCTCTATCTGCACAACCTTCCACCTGAGGCTTGAAGCCAGTTGCAAGCTCGAAGAGTTCGACCAGTGGGACTGAGGGCCACAAAACGTGGCTGGAACCGTCTGGGTGCGAAAATGTTGTGAGCGTCAAGCGCATTAAATTCTCACCGAGGTCTTGGAGCCCAAATGTCCCCAAACAGGCCCTGAACCAGAGATACCTTCTCACAGACTATCCGGGAGCACTAAGGTATGTATTGCTTCACGGGAGTCCAAAGAAGTGTTTGCAATCCTTGCTTGCGCTGTTTCACTAAGTTAGATGAGCGAGCCATAGGAAGCAGAGCTTTTTCACACGATAGAAAAAGATGCCGCGAAAGTTAAGCACGGAGTTCGCGAAAGACTTGCAAAGTGCACAGAATGATTTTTGATTATGCATATATACTCACATGTATCCTACAGGTCAAATATCTCATTTTGTGGAGTTGAAAACAAAAGCACTACTCTAATGAACTTACTGGGCCTTTGGACCTGTAGTGTGCATATATTTACCTAGAACATGGGTGACCCGTTGGAACCACCAATGAGAATATGATAGAATATGTTTTTCATGGTCTTTCTATCTAAATAGTACGGACCCCTGAAACCAACCACCCCAATGTTTACACAACTATCAGTGTCCCAAGGGGGGGTTGGGGAAGACAGTCCTCATTATGTTGCTGGTTTGGGTCGTTCGGCAGGTGATGATGGTGAATTTCACAAGAGGGTCCACGTCAATTCATCCGAATTCAGTGAAACCGGATGATACTCAGCCAGGCTCAATCATCCTGACACAAGAAAAATGCACACCCCAGAAACAAAAAACAATTAACGCGTGCAAAAACAAAAATCAGACCGGATCTCAGTGATCCAAACCTTGAGTGAGCGTGCACTATCAGTATGCCATCATTCCACGAGTTCATTTCAAACTTTTGTTTCCACAGTAGATGCAAGGTCATTTTGGTTCACCATCAGTTTGTACATGTTTGGTCATTTGTGTTCCTCCGTCCTAACTTTGTATGTGTGAACTTCACATACCCTAGGCCTCCAATTATCTTCTGAGAAGGTGTTTGGGGTGGATTTGGAGGGTCCAAATACCTTCTGAGGAGGTACATGGAGGTGTACTGTACGGATAAATCATGTGCATGAAAAAACACTGTCCAACCGCCGGTGTTCTTGATTTTTCCGGCCATGAACAAACAGTTTTCAGATGGGTTGTTGGATGTGTCCGTGCTAGAGCAGGTGAGCACTGAGTGAACTCATGGTCCCAGGTCTTGCTGGCCGAGCTGAATCAGTTGAAGGACGAGCAGCAGGCATTGAAGTCGCTTGATCCGATCAAAGGACTTACAATGTTGTTTCATGAGGTGGTTTTGTGGGCTTTGCGGTTCGCCCGGCATCCTTACTAGATACTGTACACTCACCAGATACTGTTCGCCTTCATGGCGACCTGAGTGAAGTCTGGTTTCGGTAGGTCGATCTTTTCCCTGTTTCGAGGTGGCGTTCACTCGTCCGAAAAGGCTTGAAAAGAGGGAACGTCCATTGAAGATGCAAACGAACAAACCGGGGTGAACGGGAAAGTTTGAACGGCTTGGTTGGGAAGGAACCTCGTGTCACTCTTTGTGTTGCAGTTGTTTTTCTTTGTGTGTGTGTTTGACCTAAGGTATTGCTTGATGTCTACAGGCGTTCTGACCCAGGCGCGAACCGCTTCCCAGCTGGATGAAGCTACAGTGTTCTCTTGAGTCTTGGTGAAAGGAATCGATTACATACGAGTTATTTTCAATGTTGTTTTAGTTTCGCATTTGTTTGAATCATTGAAGCAACCCTGCTCTGAAGAAGTATCTAAGGTTGCTCAATTATATTTTGGTCCTACCCAGTTGGAGGCGAGCTCTACGAGAACCCTTAAGCAACATTTGGGAACTGGCTTCCCCACTCAAGCACCAACAGATGGAACCAGGGTTACACTCCCCAAACAACATCAAACACCTCGCATGGCATTTGGAGGTCGGCCCTCTGAAGAACCCTGCATTCCTCGAGCTGCAGTGTTCTTTGACAGTCCATGGAAGTCCTCAGCGGGGTCATGGTCAGAGGTTGCCAGACCCGACCAAGTGTCACGGACCGTTCTGAAGTGGCCGGAGCGTTCCCAAATAGGACAGAACATCATTTGGTATTCCAAAACAGGAACAACTCCTTGAACATGAAGCACCCTTTTGATTCACAAGTCATACTACAATTGACCATTTGTTGGGGCTGGTGACTGGCGTTCTCCATCCGTCCATCCCTCCCTTCCTCTTTCGTTCCGCTCGTGCAGGGCGACTTGGCCCGCCTTGCGCCCAGACGATGCCGAGCGCCGCCGAGCGCCGAACGCCGCGAGAGCCGCGCGGCGGCGCTGTGCCGAGCTCCACACGTGGCCACTGGGTGGAGAAGCCGGGCGTGTTTCCGCCGACGGACAGGGATGCCAACGACGATGTGTTGGGCTTTTTCACTGACAAAAAAGACATGGCATCCATGGTGCAGGATGGAAAAGAATGTAGAAGAACCACCAGACAAAGACTCATCAAATTTATCAATCTAGCGGTGAACAGATTATTGGAAACCAGCCTTTGGTTCAGGTTAGACACCAACGAGCCGTTGAGACCGGACTCAGCTTGCTTTGGTATGTCGATGGTGGTTGAAGGACTACCATGGATGAGGTTGCGAACCGGTCGTTTGCATGCTTTGTGGTCCAAGGGATTATATTACAGCCCAGTATATATGTCTAAAAAGAAAAGGTGGTTGAAGGCCAATCACTGCCAGTCCTCTATCCCTATGGGTCCACATACCTTCTGAGGTTTGGTGATTGGAGGCTATTGATGTACTGAGGTACGGTGGATCCAAAAAGGGTCTGATCTTGAAACCGCGCTGTGTTCTCTTCGGAGCCCAGTGCCCAAATAGCTCGGTGCTTCTCCGGTGGTCTCCGGTTGGAACGGCACACAGACCAAGACGAACATCCAAAAAAAATGATTTTCAGAAGTCAATGTAGGCACAAAGAAGTTCCAGTCCCATTCAGTTCTGGGGCATAGAGCTGGGTTCACCGCTAGCATGGTCCTGGTTTGTTCCAAGCTTTGTTGGGATTTGAGATTCTGCGGATGCCTTCACGGTCCAGGACCATTCTGATGGTCCTTTGGCCCCCGTTCGACCATTCTCTGGAAGTACGAACTCACCTCCAAGACCATCCTCAAGAGGTACCTGGACCTCATGGGGATGGTAAGAGTGAGAGTGTAAGTCTCCGAGAGATCGGGGCCCTACCACCGGTACACCTGCATGGGTACATTACCTCCCAGATGGGGCTTTTGGAAAGACTCAGAAAGGTCAGGGCCGGGCCAGCAGCTTGGAATACCACAGCCTACCTGGTGTTGCGGATCAGGTGATTTTTTGCTTTCCCTACGGTTAAATCCCTTTCTGGTATTTTCTGGTATGTTTTTAAACAGGTTCCTTAAGCAAATCCAATCATACGGCAACCCTGCCTGGGCGAGAGCCAAGTCAATGGTGGGAACATTGCAAGAGGCTTCACCATCAGGCATTTGCAATAGCCCCACCGACCTTTGAACATAACACATCTATAATATCAACCAAAAACGCATGCTGACATTGAATAAACACTGACTTTCGACTTGACCCAAATAATACGATATATGGTATATAGACAATGTTCCAAGATGCCATCCGTTCGATTTGTTCAATTGGGGACTGACTTTATTGATAGATTCCCAAACTCCCCCCGAAGTGGTCCCGCCCGACCTCAAGACCTCCGACCTCATGGCCACCAGGGCTGAACGGTGCTCCAGCGCTTGGTCGTCCGCCGTGTTCACGGCCCCGTCCTGTCCTCCAGTCCTCAGGTGCGAACACTGGCGCAGCTCGTGGGCAGCGATGCCTTGCACTTCGCCGCGGCGAGTCGGGCAGCCACTCGGTGAGACCGAGAGGAGCGAGCTGGTGGCAACTCATGGTTTCAGGGAATTTCGCGGTGGGAAATGGGGTGATGGGTGGTTTTTCAGTGGACTTAAACTCTACCTGGACCACCCAATGTGTGTCCAATGGAGATCCCTAAGTAGTGGAGGGTGGTAGGCCATTGGTGGCCCATTGGATGGTCCTGGTAATAGAGTACATGATTTGGAAGGGTAAAGGAAGTTAAGTTTTGGAGAGGGGATGCTGGACCGGAGCATGAAGCCGCATGGTTTTGTATGCTTCTCAAACCGAGTGATCTCATGGCTTATTGAAGAAGAAAGACATATAGATTGGGCACCCTCCATCCAAGATGCCCTTTGCACGTCCCTGTTCCAAGTCCCAAGGGATTCACAGAATCAGCAAAAGGGTTCGGAGGAGCATTGGCAGAAGGTTTGGGCAGAATCTGTTTACCCCTTGCGGACCTTCGGGGGTACGGGGTTCAGGTGTTTTTCGCAGAAGTTCGATCCACATACTGACTGCAATGTCAGGGTATCATACCTTCTCAGGCAGTTGCTTATGTCCGCAGATACCGAGAACACACCGTTTGTGCATGCCGCCCTGGCCGCCCTGGCTGTCTTTTTTCTCGAGGCCTCGAGTGCATGCCGCTCAGTGATGCTGATGTCCGAGGCAAGTGGAGAGATGGATTAATCAAACACCAGACGAAACAAGTGTTAAACAAGCACGACCAGGACTCTTTTGTTTCATAATGTTTCATACAGCTGTGCAATGGAAGCCGGCTGCTAGCTGGGAATTTGAAGCGAACAACAAAAAGATCTGAAAGAAGGGGGGCAGTCCGTGGATGACTCCGGCAGCAACTCCTATTCCTGGATTGGTCAGAAGGTGTGATGAGGATCAAGCTTAGATGAGAGTTACGCACCCTGACCTAAGTGACCCGTGAAAGAATGGGTCTTGAGATTGATTGCGGCCTTGAAGTTAGGACTTTTTTTGGATGACACTGGGATCAAGCATTAGAATCACAAGCACTTGTATTAGAACATGTGTTTGGACTTAATTGCTTGTGAGTTCCAGAACATGAAGGATGCGACGCGTCGATGTCTCACGTACAGAACAGAAGGATGGAACATCTGAACACGTCACCCAACTTGTGGTCATGTGTTTTTCTTGCTTGTCTCGTTGTACATGTTTGGACCACTAGCACGACTGAGTCACGAACGGACCAGGAGCACCTATTCTTTGGATAGCTGACCTGTGGGAACTGTGGGGAACGCACCTGGATACCGACCAGTAACGACGCACTGCAGGGTCGTTCGAACTCGGTGGTGTGTGACCGGGCTCCAGGTGGGTCGCGACCCGATCATTCGATGACCAAATGGCACGTGTAGACTGTGGTGTTCAACAACGTACACCGTGGGGTGAAACACCGGGGAACACGTGCTGGGGGCGGATGTTTGGGTCAATTCCACGCAGGTTTCTCCAGGTCAAGGCGGCCAAGGCCTCTTCGGTAGGCAGGGGCCAAGTCAAGTGCATGAGTTGGTGGAACTTTGGACAGGGAGAGTTTGGATTTGAGTACGTGAATTGTGATGGAGATGGATTTGTTATGATTTGTTGATCTTTGGGGTTTGTGTTTTTTGAGTATTGTACATTGTACATCGTTTGTTTTTATGTTTGTATGTTTTATTTGTTGGATCCTTGATGATCTTTGACCTTTTGGGAGATGGTATAGACCAGGGTAGCAGGTATGAGCAGCGTGACCAGCGAAAGGAGGGGACTTCAGATGTTTATCTCAATGTCATTCAGGGTGATTTGATAGATGTTGAGTGCACCACTCTTCTGGATTTTTGCTTTTCCTGAAGCATCCTTTGTAACACTTATTTCTGGCAAACCATGCTTTGGAGCACTTATGGGAAGTTTGAGCGTTAATTGAGGGTATGTACACTTTTCAGGACATATGAGCGCTTTTTGGTGATGTAAATTCTAAAGCCTACTGGTTCCTGACCAGTGTCCTTATCAACCCTTGTGGGCCTTTGGGGGCCCTATGGACCGGGTGGAAATCCTATATGACCTCTCCTAGTATGTGCAAATGAAACCACAAAGGTTTGGTTCTAACCTTCTGGGCGTGCTTTACAACAATTTTTCCAAAAAGGGTGCCCGCAACTTGGGCGCAAATTCCCGCAACCCGGGCGCAATTTTAAACAGTGGTTGATGTATTTTTACTTAAATATTTTATGTTGATACTGACGATCAAAGAAAGGGGTTGCTGGCTGCGGCTTCGTAGTGTGTGAGCGTGTGTTGTGTGTGTGTGCATGGGATGGGTGCCAGCATGTGGCAGGGGAATGGACTTGAAGACCACATAAGGTGGAATGAGGTACGCTTTTTCAAGGCATGAACGCTTTTTTTGCTGATGCGCAGTTTTTTTTCTGTCACTTTTTTCTGCTACGACGGAGGGTTCAGGTTTTTAGTGATTCCTTCCAAGCCTTGGAATTTGAACATCGAACTACCGAACTGACTTTGAGGAAGGAGGAATGTGTTGGGTCTGTCCTATTATATATACCTGTAACAGTCAGTCAATTAATAACTATTTTGAACTGTCGGCCTGCAACCTAAACCGTCATCATCCGCAAATAGGCCCAGGATAGATCGGATAGACCCAAGGAATGCGTACGCCGTTTTGCTACAGCTTGGCTCTGTTCGGCCTTTTTCTGGGCGGATCGGGTCATCCAGAAGTCGACGGAGTCAGCGGGGATCAGCCTCTGGGGGCTTTCACCATCCCTAGGGATCCGTTGTCGTACCGAACCGGTTCAGTACGACTGGATCCCTAGGGCATTGAGATCCGAAGAAGAACAAAGATTGACTGGCTCGGAACCTCTCAAAAACCATCCGGAACTAGCGATAGCCATCGATAGCCTCCAACCTGGCGGCCTCCAACCGTCAGTCGGTTCCCAGGACGTTCCGACCTTTTTGAAACCTGATATAATTCACTGAGGACATGATGGAAGAAACTCAGAAATTGCCCCAGACTGGAGGCCCAAAAGCGGTTCCGTTCCCCCCTCGTCGTTGGACCGAAGGACTCGACCGGACTCGACCGGGTCTCATTTGGCCGGGTCACTGGTGCGGTCCGACCACTCGGGGGGTGCCCCCGGATGTGAGTGGCGATGGGCATGGGCCAAGTCCATCGAAACATATCTTAAACATTGCACAAATAGAACGAAAAAACACATGCCAAAAAACCCACAACGTCCATCGTCCATCGTCCTCCTTTTTTTTGTGTGTCTTAGGTTTTGCACTCGGATGATTTGATGTAACCTCTGTTCCTTTCTGGGTGAAGACCCTGGAATATGTTGTAGTTTGTGCTGGCTCCTTCAGCAACGTCCATCTAAACCACTCCTGAAGAAGTGAGCTCAGAGTTGGGGCACGAAGGGGTAAGAGGATTTAATTATGATTTATGGGGCGTAATAGGGGTGTGTACGGTGTGTAAGACAGATATATACTGTATACGGTTTTGATGGGTGTCACCTGCCTACCGGTAGGCAGGGGGCCTCCAACCCCACCCGAAACATCTCTCATCAACGTTCTCCTCAAGGCAGAGCTGTGGACCCACACTCTTGTATGTAAATTAGATCAATGAAACTTCCATAGTCTTGCATTTCCGGAACTGCCCTGCGAGGCTCTTCTCAACTGCATCCATCTCGCGAGGTGCGCACCAGTCGACTGGCTGCCATCCGAAAAGGAACCGCTTCCCCAAGCACGGAAGCACGCGAAAACGTTCCACAAGAAAGTTCCCACCGGTGGGAGTGGAGTAGAAGGAACTCCACGATCAAGATACCAGAGATGGACCGTATGAAAAAGACCACCTATGTTTTTGTTGCCTATGCATTCATGAGCCTTTTTGTTTGGCCTTTCCTTTCATGCGAGTCTTATTTTTTGCCAAGTCGTCCAAAACCGGTGATACACCAGGCAGTTGGACACCGGTTTTCTCACCCGTTCCGGACGTTCCCGGAGTTCTGTTCCGGAGTTCCGACTGTTGGGTAGGGATGTGGCCAGGGGGGTCCATATGGAACTGGGTGCGATCCATGGAGGAAGACGGGGTCCGGAGTGCTCCACGTCCATGCAGCGATGGGACTAGGCCCCGACATGGAACTCCTGAGGCTGATTGGACGAGTTTCTCAAGTACGGGTGTCCCTTTTGGGCTGAAGAACCGGCATTCATGCCTGTGGTATACCAAAACGGTCCGCTAGGCTGTGGCCCCAGGTCTGACGCCGACATAGAGAAAAGAAGCAAACAGATGCAGAAAGGATGTAAAACATAAACCCTTTGGATCCAGTCACCACTGATTTTTTTAGATTGCAATCGATTCAACACTATCAATCCATGATCCTGGTTCCTTCCACACTTGTCAGAGGAAGTCATTGTAAAACCTAAAATTCCTTGCACCTTTTGGGTTCGTCCACGGTGGAGTTGTTTCTGGGGTTTCCCTGGACAAACCAGAGACCCTATTGACCTGAATGTATGTATATATACACTATACTCATTAGACACTATATTAACTATAATGTGCATGTATAATTTTAGAATATTTTTTAGATAGTTTTAGATTGTTTGGGAAATCCCCGGGAAACCCTTCGTCATACAGCTGGCGCACGGATGGATGTCTACAAGCAGAGAATGTACTAGCGCAAGGTACACACTCGCAAAGAAAGAAAGAACGAAAGAAAGAAAGAAAGACAGAAGCTCTAGAGAGACCGAGAGAGAAGAAGCAACAAACTCCACCGGGTTGAATCCTTCCCTGTGCGCAGCCTGGGGAGAGAGAGGATGTTCCACTGTGTCCAGCAGGTTCAAATGAAGGAAGTTTCATCCACCCGTTGTGAAGGCACCCATCGACCAAACATCCACTGCAACAGGGAGTTGCATTGCGGAAAACATGTTGGCTTTGGGGTGACATGAGCAATGAGTGGACACACCCCGAAAAGAAGCATCTCATGTCCGACATGAATTCCTCTTGGCCGCCAGGGGCCTCGCAGGCCTCGCAGGGAGCACCGGCCCAGGTGGGAGAGTTTGTTCACGATTGCAGGTGGCATGAACTACATGATGTGGGCAAGAATGGGTTCAAGATGGTGGCAAAAGGGTACACTCTGACTCACTAACATGGAAGTGGAAAATGGTCCCTTGGAAGACTACTTTCCTTTCCGAACAGGGGGTGCCATCCACGTCCATGTGATGTGTTCGTCGGAGTGTACATTGAATCTTGAACTCCAAGTGATCTGAACTCTCAAGAATGGATACATGATCGACGCCAATGAGAGCTCTGCTCCGTTGCCTGGCGTTTTTGCTTGGGCTGCTTATTGGTCAAGTGGTCAAGACCTCGAAGGATGCAACCCTTTCTTCGTACTTTCCGTGGTGATTTGCGTGGTTTCTACGACGAACCATCTCTACTATAGACGGATCTAGACGGCCTATGAGTCGTTTTTCCGTTTTTCGGGTGGCGGAATTGGTGGCTGTGGATTGGTCATTGTAACTTAAGGGGAGCAAAGCTGAGAATGACCAGTGAGAAGATGTTTTGCGGGATCACGCCCCATGAAGGCCCCCAAATCAGAGGTGTTTCTGTTCACAGACAGATAGACAACTCCATTCTTTGAGGCAGACACACTCAAATGACCGTTTTATCATTGTTCCATGTTGTTCCTCTTCAAATGACTATATACAGTAATATACAGTATAAATCCATATCCATATATGCACAGCTCCAACAAAGGGATCAAACCGGTGTTTTCTCTTCAAACCACGACTCATGCCCTCACCCGGCATCGTTCTCGTCGCTTGCTCACCACGACGTCAGGAGAACGAGACGACACCGGCGAGCTCGGAGGAGGCTGAACCAACGATCCGCTCCGGGGGAACGGGAGGGGGGTCGGTCCAAAAGGACCCCAGTGGATCCATAGAGTTCAAAAGCTAATAGCAAACATTGTTACTACTAGTAAGGCACTTGCTCCTAGTAGCGATGCACTTGTTCCTAGTAGCTTCTTGTTACTACTATATAGTAAGGCACTTGTTACTACTAGCGTGGCACTTGTTCCTAAAGCTTAACAACTGATTCACCATTACGATTCCCACATGTTCCGTTTGGCCACAGACTTCCAGCGTGGTATCAGCGCTGGTATAGGGATCGCTTTGTCGGTACCCTTGGAAACCCGCAACGGGCGCCTTTGCGCACCAAACTACGTCGGTCTCCCTCGCATGTTTTCTTTCCCTGGTGTGTTTAAGCGAAAAGAAGAACTAGGAAACATGCCCAACATTTGAAACAGGGACTTCACCGTGAAACGGGGACTTCAGCTATAAATTTGGAATGCTCCGACTCACTTGCACACCACGCCGCCGACGCGCCGACGCGCCATGCGGAACAGCCTCTTCCACATCTGACCTCCGTGCAGGATTGAAGCAGTCTGTGCCAAGAGAGGCTCAACATGATTCAAACCATGCCATATCATATCATATATATATATATCGATTGATATCAATTGCGCGTTTGGGCCATTTCGAGTGGATCATTTGGAGCACCCCGGAGGATTCTTGTTCGTTTGCCCCACCGTTCAAAGACCGAGTTCGGCCACTTCCCGCGTCGTTCCCCGCAGGCGGACGTGCCGCGCATGAGGCTTTCGGCTAGGCCGGACGGATGACACCACGGCCCGTGATGGATCTGGAAGTCAGACCTGTCAGACTCGATCTTCATGAACAACAACGACTCGATCAACGACTCAATATGACTCAATGACCTCCACAGAAAGAGGTGGTTCAATCCAAATGCAGGGGGATCATTCATCAAGAGTCTACATTACACCCTGAAAGACGATCCCATGGACCCTGAAAAAACCCAGTGGCTGGTAGAGGAAAACCCATCTTCCAGGCACCCTGATTGGACCCGGGTCCAATGTGAGTTTTTGGGAGTGTCAGACATGGGGCGTTCTGACTTGAAAGATGGAGCATCGATCTTACTGGGCCAGGCGCTTTGTCGCAAGGCCATGCGGCTGGCTCCCCCATGGGCGGTCCAAGTAGACAAGGACGAATAAGTATTGATGACTGGAACAAGTTCGGGATCCCAAGAGTCGAAGGTGCATGGGGCAAAGCAAAAAATTGTTATGTGCTTCGGATATATATATATATATTGTTGTATATGTGGGGTCTGTCCGTTCTTACCTGTAACAGTCAGTAAACAAGCAAAACACTATGATTGAACAAGGCCTGCAACCTAAACCATCATCATCCACTGTTGCAGGTATTAGGATAGACCGATAGACCCAATATCTGGTTGTTGTAGATTTAAGTGTTGTATCCTAAGGTATAGGTAGTCGCGGATCCACTTGGCATGTTTCTTGGAGCACGTGAGCCATGTATCCAGAGCACCATTAACAGAGCTCGAGCGCGTCGTGTTTTCGATTCTTTGGATTCGTGTGTTGACATGTTTCTTTTCCTATATGGGTGAACCATGGTGAATCCCCCACTTGTGTGGGGTATGCCTATTTACTGTTATAGAAGAAGTGGCTTGTGCCAATCTTCTATTTGAAGGGTATGGACATTTGCCGCCGGGAGGGTTTCAAATAGAAGGCCAGGTGCAAACGAAGGTCCAGGGCACAAAGTCGGCGAAAATCAAGAGAGGCCAAACCCCGAGCCACTTCAAATAGAAGAGGCAAACAAGACTAAGACAAAAGAAGGGAGGGGAAAGGGGAAAGGGGAAAGGGTGGGGAAAGGGGGAAGGGAGAAGGGAAGGGAGGCAATCAGAAGGGAAGGGAATGCAGCTGCCAGAACAATACTTGAGCAGCCACCAAAAATGATTGCGGGAGGATTTATTTTGCTTTTCTCTTCTCCCGCAGAGAGGGAGAGAGAGAGTGAGAAACAAAGAGCAAGCGGGCTCATGTGTAAGTGTATGTTGTGTCAACAAATATGTTCTTCTATTTGAATCGAAGACTTGGTTGTGAGCACGTTTATCAACCCTTATCTTGAGTTATTCCTTCAGTCCTGGAACCTGGCTACGGGAGGAATATGCAAACATAGCTTCTATTATTAGTTTCCCATCGTTTCCCGCACTATACACAGTTTTCTTTTCCAAAGCAACTTCAGGATGGCAATGTGAGAAACGATGGCTCTCGGTCTTTGCACTTGCGCTGAGCACCAAGCAACCCATGCGATCAGGCTCTTCTCGCGCTTGCTGTCCTGGAAGAACTCCGAGGAAGAGAACTCGAACGCCCGGTGGCCAGAGGATGCGAACGCCGGATGCGTAAACGATGGAGATGTGGTTGTCATTGGTCCAGCAGCAAAGCCATATTAGTCTGAGTTTGTACCTCTTCAAAATGGCTACAGGAGCTTGGTTTTAGGGTACACACAATGAAACAACACCTAGTTAGGGCAAAAGCTAAATAGGCAAAGCTTTATAGGTCCTATTCTATTTTAGGAAACGTCTACCTCGTTTTGTTGCCGTTCGTTCCACATCGACGGGCGTGTTGAACGCGTCGTTCTGCACGTTCCGTCCAGCTCGACCGACCGTTTGTCAGAGCGCTTTCTCCACCGAAACCGTTCGACCGTTCCGCGAGCGTCGGAACGCTCCACCGTCCGCGATGCGATTCGGTTCGCGAGGTCTCCGACGTGATGCAGCTCAAGGAGGCCAGCGACCTACACCGGTGCCGCCGGAACTGACCGGCCGTTCGCAGATTGAATTTCAGCGATGCGCAGTCCAGCGCAGCATGATGCTGCTTGGTTTTTGTTGGTGTGTTTTTGTTGGGGGGGCAAAAAAGGTTGGCGCAATCAAACGGAAACAGGCGGATACTGCCTAAGTATATACATTCATACAATACACAGTTTCAGGTTTTTAATACTTTTGGGCAGCTACCTACCTGAAGAAACCAAGAAGTTGCCCTACACTCATATTGTAGGTAGCCAGTGTACCGTCTGGTCGCCAAACACTCCAGGGAACTGGAATGCATACTGATCAGTTGGGGTGGTGGATAAGAGGTTAATGAGTCAATGAAGGTCCATCATTCCTTTCATCCTTTCGTGCAGTTGAGTAGGTCGCCTGGTTCCTGAAAGAGAATGGTCACTGGGATGCACTGGGGTTCGCGTTCTTGGGCGCCATCTGGTGGGAATGGACCAGGTAGGATCTCATTGAAAGAGTTGGATGCCAAGCCCGAGAAGTGGTTGCACCCACCGGTGTGAGTTTACAGTCAGACAAACCCCAAATCCATCATAGGCATATGTACCTAGATTGATCCCTTGTCCACCATGCCAAGTGATCGGTACTTCAACTCTTCCATCTAAAGTTAAAGTTGACGCTTGATTCATGCACCTCCAACATGCGAATGATTCTGCATCTCCATTCCTGGGGCGTTGATTGATCATCAGACAACAAAACTTGGAGCATAGACTAGATGCCCTTTTCACCAAGTACGAACGCATATTCTCAAATGATTGGTTTGTTGATCAATAGTGCGGATACTCCGCGGTCGTGAACCAACCAATATGGTCCCTCATCTCAACCCTAGCATCATTGACTTGGAGCGTTTGTGGAGCGACCTCCGCAGGTCTTGCGCGGCTTCGGTCGGGCGGCTGGTGCCACTGCAGCGTTCCAGTTGGGAGTGCCCAGGAACGGGGAAGTCGGAAGAAACACCTGAGTCAGACTCCCATGGCCGATGAACAAGTCGAACATCATCGAACCCAGTTGGGGCAGAGTGGAAGTCATTTTTTCCAGAAGGATCTGTAGACCATAGTAGACCCAATGATCAGAGTTCATTTCTGAACGGGCTTCCCATCAGCGGGGGGTTGTTTGTTTGATTGAGATGCAAAAAGTGTGTAATGGGTCTGAACAAACTACAGCTGCGGTTTGCTGATGCTCTTAAACCATCTCTTGACTTCTCCTGACCACACGTAGATGACCAGCTAAAGGGGCGATGTTCCAACCTTAAAACTTTTGCGACCATAGGCGACACAGCACCACCCTCCAGCTTCCTCGGCGTTTCAGTTGCCCAATCTGGTGCCTCCTTTTTCGCCTGGAGCTCGGTGCTCCACTCCCGGACTGAACTCCCAGACGGTCAACCGCAACTGGGCCGACTGGCGACCGGACCGGGCCGAGGCTCTCGGAGAGCTGCCGTGGCTGTAACGAGGCGTCCGGGCGCCCCGGTGTCCACGGAGGTGCGAAGATGTGCGAAGTGGCTGGGCAGATAGGGGAAACTGGGTCGGTTCGAAGGCCAACAGAGAAAGCGCTGTTGATTTGGATTGTTGAAGATTCAGATTACGTGACACCGGAAGGCTTAGTCAGCTTCTTGACTAGTAGCCGATGGCCTCGAACCTAAAAACGCGGCCGTCTCACATTACGCTTCGCTTCCACAGACTCCGTCGGACGCCCAGGCTGCGGCCGATTTTACCTCTCATTTCTCAAGAGGCGCGAGGGGGGGACCATGCCAAACTCGGTCGACTGGACCGACGGTTTGGGGGATTCAACTATGGTCAAAAATGAGTTATCATTTATACCCTCGGGATCCAGTCGTACCTCCTCAGAAGGTATTTGAAGCCTCCTGGCACCCAGCCCAGTCCCACCTTCTCAGAAGGTACTTGGATCCCTAGGGATGCATTTGGAATTCAATTGCCATTGCAGATTGATATGCCTCACCAGAGTCTCCTCGGCACATTTGCACCAGGATTTTTCTGGTGACATCATGCAGGCTTGCTCTCAGCAGAAATCCAACCCACAAGGATATCGCTGGAGCCTCCGGTCGGTAGGAGAAGCTCATTGTGAAGTCTATGGTCTCAAGTCTGTGACTTTTGCACACACCAGCCGTGTTGTGGAGCATCCTGGGCACCCCCAAGAAACACCTCCAAACAAGGCATTGGGAGGCTCATGGCTTCCGCTTTGGACAATGGATTTGGGCGGCTTTGGGGAGGATTTCACCACCAAGATTGACACAACAGCTTCCTATACCGCCATAAAGCAAGATCAGACATGATCAGACTACACACTCAGCATTCCCTATAATGTTGGATCTTGATTAGTAAAAGGGACCCGCCCTCAAACAAATGGAACCACCACCAAAACAAATCTGTGTTCCTAGGAGGATTCCTTTTGTAATTGATTGTAGTAATAATTGTCCTTTCTCTCTTTGTAGTAGTAGTAGTAGTAGTAGTTGTTGTTGTTGTAGTAGTAGTTGTTGTTGTTGTAGTTGTAGTTGTAGTAGTAGCAGCAGTAGTAGTAGTAATAGTAGTTGTAGTTGTAGTAGTTGTAGTAGCAGCAGTAGTAGTAATAGTAGTAGTAGTAGTACTTGTAGTAGTAGTAGTATTTGTAGTAGTAGTACTTGTAGTAGTAGTACTTGTAGTAGTAGTAGGAGTAGCAGCAGTAGTAGTAGTAGTAGTAGTTGTAGTGGTAGTAGTAGTAGCAGTAGTAGTAGTAGTAGGAGTAGCAGTAGGAGTAGCAGTAGTAGTAGTAGTAGTAATAGTAGTTGTAGTAGTAGCAGTAGTAGTAGCAGTACTAGTAGTAGTAGCACTATTATAATACTATGAGGATCAACTGTGATGAATTATATACTATTTACATTTTTCTTCAGGAAAAAGCTTTGCACAATTGAGGACCCTTAAAACAAATTCATTATTGAGGATCACGGGCCTTCCTGGTCTACTACCTTGAAGATTTGTTTAGGAACAATCTTTTCATAAAGGATTGATTGGGGAATTTATGGCTTTGGGAAGTTGTCAGTTTTGAAGAAGAACTATGGAAACCTATACTTATCAATACTCTCAGAAAGCCAACCATTGGCTTAGTAGTATTAAGAATTAATACATAATATATCTATTTTCCTAAAGACCATATACATAACTAACCCTAAATATGTTTCAGATAATAAACAAAAATTAGGATCCCAAATCGATTTAGCATAATAGAAGACCCTTAAAACAAACAGGGTGTCAAGAATTATTTTCCAACATTTAGCATTATGGAGGGCCCTATTACTAATCAAGATCCAACCTTAATATGATATTTTGCGTTCTCCCCCCAACACATCCACATGTATCACCTCCCACCTGGGACCCGCCATGCCACATGCCGCCTGCCTGATCAACGACTCTCCTCCCGTCGCGGTCGGTCAGCACGAGGCGCCTTACATCTACGTGTCGGGCGGCTCCTGTGGCCTGGTGGTGGACTCCGCCGAGCGCTTGAATCCCAGGCGGAGGGGGCGGACGCGGTGGCATGTGGTGTGGTCTCGTGGCGCGGGGGGCGAAGAGGGAGGACGTGGGAAGAGGGGTATGTGGACTTTTAGGGTGGGTGGTGGTATGAGAAAGGAAGGCTTGAAGGACAGGTGGTGGAATGCTAAAACAAAAGAGTATAATGTTAACGACATTTTTGCTGACCCTATAGTACGTTATGTTTTAGGGCACTACATGTTTTAGCTGGACATGGATGTGGGTGTAAAAGCACTCGTAGCCCAGTAGTTGAGGTTTAGAAGAGGCACAGACAGAACAGGTCACGCTTTCAGGTCCTTGGACGGTATGATCAACAGATATCAGAAATCAACAGATTTGCCACAAGGAGCATCCCTAAAGCCAAGCTCTTGCAAGCTACAGTGTATAAACTAGAGGCTAGACTAGAGTGCTTTTGATTTCACGCCACATACAAGCTACATCAAGCTACAGGCTTTTCATCTCTTTCCATCCTCACAAAACCTCACCTGCCCAGCTGACCCAACAGTGACCCACACGGTCGTCGCGGAACCTTCCGCTGTCGCCAGAACGGGTCTGTGGGAGACGTTGCCCTCCATGTGCATGTGGGGTGCTTAGCCGACCCAGGAAGTGAATGGATCACCTGCAGGTGATCCTGCGGACAGGCTTATGAGAGGTTTTGAGTGATACTGCCAATGGATAATCCCTGCGAGATGTTCTTTTTCCTGCTTCTCAGATCTTCTCGGTTCATGAATACAAAAAAACAACCGCCTCATGTTCACATCCCTTTTGGACTGTACACAAGACACACAACTTTCATGAGGCTTCTAGTGGGATGAACTTCAGCTACAGGACTAATTACAGCATAGTGAGTGATGAGAGCTACCCCCCTGTTCAACATGGACAGCATCAAATGGCGACAGGACTGTGTTTACAGAAGTGCATCGAAGTTTACAGAACTCAACTGATCCCTGCTGAAGCTGAAAGGAACTTCACCGGGGCACCTCCCATCAGCCCTCGGAACCTCCCATCAGCCAGCCCTACCTACCGGCCTCGTGGCCCGGATCGGTACGACCGGTACGGACCGGTACGGTACGGACCCATCGGGCGAAGACGAGCTCACCCGTAGCGGAAGGGCCCATCTAAAGGTGTCGAGTTCACTCTGGGCCCTTCCATACTCCAGGGGTCTCAGTGGATCTGGGTCCCGGATCTCCATTTCAGCGCATGGGACCAACTCGAGATCGGAGGGTGAAGCTTGGTGACCTCGGAGACCAAACGTCCGAGGTGACCTCGGTTCGAGTCCAGACGCAACTCGACCAGACCGCGTGCACCAGATCTGACGGAGCGGAGGTCTCCAGTCCGCGTGTGTTGTCTACGACAGACCACACAGTCTCCAGTCCTGTTTTGCATTGTTTTGCTGTATACCATGCGGACCTAGGATTACCTCACGCCCTCAGAAAATTAAGCAAATAGTTCATTATAGTATACTGGATAACTGTTTAAAGCTACAATCTAAAATGATGTCCCGTTTCAGATAGCATCCAATATCTTGCTTTTTCATAGCCCCTTAGAGATCTGTTATGTGGCAAAGGGGTGTCCATCAACCACCCGTTATGTGGCTTCATGGTAGTCTTTTGTTCCCTCCGCTCTCACCTTCCGCACACGGCCCTCCACGACCCTCGCCTCGGCCCCCCCGTCACGGCCTCACGGCCCAGACCTCGTCGGGCCTGTGCCACTGCGTCCACGGGTGGCAGGTGGGATGTTGGAAACAGCGTGACGGTCTGACACACGAGACGAGCACCGAGCACCGTGTTGATGTGAACATGGCACCTTAAGTTGAACTCGTGGATTGCTTTTATCGGAACATGACGACTGGGACACACATGAGCGCTTCCCAGCTGCCCCAATGGAACTCGTGGTTTCGGTTCCTATGGAACTCGTGTCCGTCCGACGTCGGAAAACGGTCTGTTGGTCTCGGTCCGCCAAGTGAGACAGATTGAACGTTTGGGAACAAATGAGTCGATTGATGTTGTCACATGACCTCATTTCTCCTAAAACTCGTGCTTTAGGTCTTGCTCCCACAACAACTTCACAGCGACTGTGGCCAAGACCATCCATCGGATTTCCCCAAGCACTTGCATGTAATGTTGACATTGGATTAATGAACCCACCTATTAATCAAGCCCAGCTCGAGCCCCCAAAAATAAACACTAAACTATTGTAACACCTGAATTTCCACCTTGACATCCCCCCAAATATCCTTTTCCTGGCCAGCAACCTTCATATTAATCAAGCCCAGCTGCGTACTATCTTTATATATCTTTATTATATAGTTATCCACCACATAGAGCCTCCATCTCCTATTCCTCCTCCATGCTCTGATACACAGTGATCCAATTGGCATGGCTCTTTGATCTATCCTAGCACTAGCAGATCTGTTATCATCTTTTATCAAGCTCGTGCCAATATGCTCAGAGGTTCTTATGGTTCAAGCTCTCATGGTTCACACAGAATCCCATCAACCATCGTCCACCATCATCCAGTCCAGGTCATCACCTTTATTAGGGGGATGTGGTGCTCCAATATCTCCAATCTCAAACCTTGTTGACCTTGAATGGGGGGGGGTGGCAGTTGATTAATCCGACGTCGACATGACCAACAACCAATCCCAATCTACAGTGCCCATGCACGGCGCTCGAACCTGGGGTATTGGACCCCAAAAACATCCAGATGTGGGGATAACCTCGTTGGGGATCATGTGGCAGCCAAAAACTGTACCGGACATCGAACTATAGTAGGACCATGTAGGACCTCGTCTGTCGCCTTCGGCTCACCGCAGGTTCTACGTCTTGGGTGGCGTGGACGTGCCCCGCTTCGTTGGGAGCTTCGACCTCCCATCCTGGGCCTACGAGGCGACCGACCGTCGGGTCCGAAGTGCGCCGCTTTCAGGCGAAAAACGTCCGGCCACCTGGGGGGGGAGGGGTTGGAGGGTGTTGTTTTGGAGGGCTGTCCTATAGGACTCTGATGGTGTGCATATGATATTATAACAAGTATTATAATACTTATATATGACTATGACTATGACTATTACAGTATATTACGTGACGTTGCACCATTGCTGTTTTGAGCTTCTTGTGAGTCCTTGACATTGGCCCAAACCAAACAAATGCTTTGCTTCGAGACCGGAGCCTGACATGAGAAACGCCACATGTCGCAGGACAAGTATCGTCCTGAATGCTTTGACCCCGCACAGAACAGGCCGCTGCTGGGACATCTCGAAGCAATTGGGCGTTTCCGCAGTCCAAGACACTTGTAAAGGATCTCAATTGCCATATTAGGTTCCAACCATTTGTTTCTGGTTGGGATCTGGCTGTCCAGAATTGCATACCATGCCCCAGTCCCAGTCCATGGGACTGAAAGATATGATGCCTAGTAGCACTTTGAGCACTTTGACTTGAGAGTATTTTCTATTCTTTTTGTGTAAGTTATAGATACAGCACAAGGTCAGAGCTCGAGCTCGAGTTCGGTCTGGGGACAAGCACCGAAAGCACGCGAATGAAGGAAGTCTGGGGAGATGAATGCTGCTGGAGACCCCACTCCAAGAGCTTTACGGTTCGCCTAGACCACAGTTGGCACTTGTAAGATCTTGTAAGAGGATAAAGGAATGAGTAATGATTTGTTTCTCAATTGAGAAAAACAAAGCATTACTCAATCCAGGTACTTGAGTTCCCATTTTTCAGGACTTACGAATCTGCTATGGATTCATCAAGAGGTGCTCAAGGTTCACGACGTTGCCTCCGACCATGAGGTGCTCAAGATATTTCCTAGCACACACATACCACGGTATAGATGCCATCATAGACGCTATGGCAAGCAAGGATAAAACCGTCTTGAAGGTCTCCTTTGGTGTGGCAAACAAAAAGTAACCAATAGCAGAGTAACACCACGGGCCCTCCATTCACCAAACCTCAATACAAACGTTTTGTCAATTGAAGCAGTGCAACATTGACCCTTAAAACATTTATATCACAACGCATCAAAATGCACACCAAAAAATGTAGCCATGCATATGTTTGGGATCTGGATACTGCAACTTCATCCCTCGATTTTTGCGAGCACACTATTCACTATTCTACCTCACCACGACAATTATTTCTCAAATGACCAATGACAATCAATCCATTTACAAACAAAAGACACATTCACTGACATTCACAACGACTGACTGTTGCGTCATCCTCCGTGGTGCCTTCTTCTGCGCCACGCATGGCGCGGCTTCCGCTGCTGTTCCTTAGCGTTTCCGCCACCGGTGCGGCCATGCAGTGCCCGGGCTCAGCGGCATGGATCCATGCATCGACGCAGGTGCGCGTGGTTGGTGCGGTTGCGTCATCGTTTTTGGGTGCGACTCGTTGGTTTGTTGGGTGATTGAGGGTTCTAATCTAAGATCTCCGTCCAGAGACTACTTGCCAAGATCTGGTCCACTGTGTAGATACTTTTTGTTGTGTGTGTTGTTGTTCACCATGAATACAGGTGCCTTCATGCGAGAGGGTGCATTGGACCACTCAACTTTGAAGTATGTGGCGCTTTCCCTGCGACGTGGGCGCCGCCGCCGGACCGGGTCCGAAGCGGACGGATGGCGGAGGACGGAGGACGGAGGGATCCGGTCTGTCGGCATGAACATCACTGATGTGTCTCTCAATCATGGAAAGACTAGTGACTATACTAGTGACTAGACTACAGATGGACCAGTGACTAGACTACAGATGGACCAGTGACTAGACTACAGATGGACCAGTGACTAGACTACAGATGGACCAGTGGCTAGACTACAGATCACAACCCCCTTGCGGTGCTTGACCCCCCCCCGAAAGGGAAGGTAGTAGTGATGACTATAGTAAACATGTGTTTTGCTTCGGGGGAGAGAAGATGTCCACTGCATCATTCAGGTTTGGGTGACTTCGGCTCACATAGATCCGGCAGGCTACCACCGTGGTACGGTCGTTGTGAGTTGTGCGCCACTTCTATAGGTGACTGGTACAGGTGCAAATCCCAACTTGAACTAGGCAATTCCTCGTGGAAAAGGCGCAGATCCTTTGCAGGCGGCCCGTCCCACGTTCTTCACACTTTCAAGCTCTCCACCTCTTCAAGCGTGACTTGATTGATGCCACCACCGGGTCGAACAATGTGTGCCAACACGTATGGTTGTCGATCTAAAGGTCCTAATACATAGCGTTGATTACGATGACCCTGGAACATGTCAAAACCTCATTTGGTGATAACACCCATGTATTACCTGATTGTTTTTGTGTTAATGAAATGTGTCGACCTCCGCCCACGTGCCAATTTCTGCAAACTCCTCCGCGCTCTTTGTGCTCTCCACCAAGATGGACGCGTTTGGTTGCCAGGTGGAGGCGGTGGCCGACACCGAGTGTCGCAAGGTGCTGGAAGAGATCCGGGCGCGGGTCAGCGACAAGGAGTGGGTGGACCCACACAACGGTGGAAACTTGAGCTTGGATGTTAACGATGGTTTCTTATGGGTTTGTATTTTTTTGGCGTGTACTTCCTGATGTAGTGGTTGGAAATTGGACTTGAGCGATTCATACACTCGAATCATACCCCTCAAGAAGTAGGTGTAAGAACTCGGTGTTGAGGTGAAGCTTTTGGTTGGTCTTTGTGCCTTAATAGATGTCCATGACCCAATGGTGCATTACGCTTGCAATTGTGCGATCCACGGGCATTCAACTTGGCCAAATTGTCGGTCTTCTTGTGGGAAGAGCAAAGGCTCACATCCCAGGGGTACCAATGTTCCCATGTGCCCTCCCTTGGGAAGAAGAGCCAAAGGATCGCCTTCTTTTGCAGAATCTAATGCCCATACGAATCACACCCGATTCATACCCGAATCACGCACCTCCACACAGTCTCCCACCCATCCCACAAACTGGTTTGGTGGGGCCTGGGCCACTGGTGTGCGCTGTAGTCACAAGGGTCGTGCCTTTGGTGGGGTGTGGGGTCTTTGGTACGGCGCAGAAGTGGGCCCACTGCTGGAAGTCCACAATACAATTTCAAAGCTGTGAATCATACCCTCGAATCATACCGCCTATTCAATCTTCCCGGCCCGTCTATACGGAAACAAATACACACCCATATGGTTTTTAGGAAATCTTGAAAGCCAGTGGATGGATTTAAAGCCAGCCTGGATTGTTAACCAATTTGGATGTTGTTCTGGGCTTCAGATGGTTTCAGGGGGAAGTTGGGCAGTTTTTCAACGATAGTCGGGCATTCAGATGTTGTCAGGCTGTTTGTTACTATTGAATACTGTTGATGACTAAACATCCCATATACAATGACGTGACACCATTCTGGTAGGGTGGGCTTTACACATTATATACCGGTATACATCTATTATCCACAGGTGTAGCTACCATGGAGTCAGGTGTCTAATTACGACCATTCTGGAGTAGATAGAACATGATAATATCTATGAACCATGACCAGTGTCCTATTTTTAAAACAACCTGTCCATATTCCATTGAGGGAAGGCAATTTTGTTGAACTGTCAGTTCCTCGCCAGCCGCAGGTTTGCTAGAATATTCTTTACTCAAAAATAGATTGTTTTTCACCACAGAATGCTTACCACACTTTGGGGGTCAGCAACTGCCGCATGTTCGGACACTTCTTTTCGGAGCCTGGACGCCATGCATGGCCTATAGGGAATTGCAGCAGACCCAAAGACTCATCCTGTGGAAATGGCTGGTCAAACGCTGTATATACCTAGATCCCGTCCAAGCCTCTTTGTGATTGATGGAACAAGACCATATTTCAGTGGTTGGTAGTCCAAGAAAAGTTTTCCTTTGGGTCTGGGAAACCTAAGAAACAACCAGCAGGAAGTGGTGTCATCTCCATATTGTATCTAAATATACTTTCCGTGGGTGTTTCTATTACATACACTCCCTGGAACTAACATGGAAGTGGAGAATGGCCCCTTTGAAGACCATAATTTTCCTCTACAAATGCCATCCACTTCCATGTTAGTTGCAGGGAGAGCAGCAGTTTTAAGACCAATGCTTCACCCCAACCTTCCATGACCATCCATGTGCTCATATGCATGGTTGCTAGAAATGGGTTTTAACAATCATTAAAGAAACACAGACCACTGTTTACAAGGAAGACCAAACATCTAGCTGAGCTACATACATTAGGGTCATATATGGAGGTAAATGGTAACACGATTCCATACGTGGATGGTTTGAGCATGATGTTTCCTTGAACAGAGTAAGGAACCTACAGCCTGGAATCCGGCAATGGAGATCTCCTCGAACTCTCCCGGCTGACCGGCAACAAGCGATACACGGACCAGAAGCTTGGGCTCGGACCGTTTGAAGCATGAATACGTGGCAATCGAGGGGTTTGTTTGACCACGGCTGGAAACGTTTGCATTGTTTTTTGCAACCTCTTTCTATGAATTTGCTTGAGGATCACTGTCACTGTTGTTCATATTGTTGGATCAGTAATTTGAATTTCAATTGTGTGGAGTGCCGGATTGCAGCAACAGACTCTATTGGTATAATGGCAATGTCGGCGCCGGACATAAGGTCCAAGCTTCTTGCTGGCTCCCTCCACAAAAACCTCTGTGAGTGTGCCACTGTGATCTATATCTAACGGACCTCGACAGAATGATATGATATGGTAAACTTTATAGCGGTTACAATGTGCTGAACAAAACACAGCCAGCATCACTTTCAATGGGGTACAGCAACTTTGTGCAACTGCCACTGCTCTGAGATAGCATAGCATTCCTCTGAGTATATATAATTATGATTTTTAAAGCTTTAATATAGCATGAGGCGTGTACTCTCATTTGCCATCATCAGTTGAAAGATCCTATGTTGACCAGCTCTTTTTGTGTGTGTGAAATCACTCAGATCAATCATTCTCCGACTCCAATGTTACACGAGAGATGCACTGCTTGGGTCGTGTGAGGGCCCAAGCAGCGAACCAAGGATGACCTTTACCTTCACCCCGCAAGGAAAGACTTGTGCGATTCACGCCTGCTCCGAGTCACAGGCTGCTTGACAAGAATCCGTTCACAACGCCGTGAACGCTCTTGGAAATGGACAAACGACAGGAGACTGACCAGCATGGACCAGCTCTACAGTGCATTGTTGAAGCTGTTCCAATGGTGATATTGATCATCATCATATGATTAGTGCTACTGTATCTCTCAAACTAAAAAATAGGATATATATATATATATATATCAAATCGGACCACATATACCCTATATATCTAATGATCTATGTCCTCTTTGTACCTCTTTGTGAACATACTCACTTCGTTGGGACGCCTTTTCGCCGACTTGAAAGGACGGTCGGGTTTGCCGCCGACCTTCACAGACCGTGCGACCCGGAGGGCGTCTTCGTTCAGGTCTTTTCGATTGCTGACTTCTCGACCAACTACTGCAACCTTCGTAACCTCTATTGTGGCTCAGAGGACTGCGCCCGAAGTTAGGTGAAGTTAGGACCTGTTGTAGCAAGGGTGAAGACAGACTTTTGGGGGGGCAAAATGAGATATTTCAATTGAGTCAGAGGGGCCTGTCATTGTTGAGAAGAGGCATTGTTGTTAAGCAAGAATCCGTTTTAGAAAATTTGTCCATCTTCATCATATCTGTCTAGATTCATAAGACATGTTTCCGAAGATGTTTTTTCATTTTCAGGGATTAAAACAGGAGAGGCACCATGAACGTCGGCGTGAAAACAAGGTTGGTCACGGTGATGCAAGGTGTTGGTCTTGCCAAATGATGCACCTATGGGAGAGTCATCCGCATGACACAATCATCTAAACTCAGTTCATTTGGGCCAATTTGGCTTTGCCAAGGCATGTTCCAGTGTGCCCCTAAGTCCCAAAATGGCAGTCATTCTTCCATGTTGCTGTTTTGCGTAAACAAGTCCTTTCACCGCCTGTCACCAGTGTTTCGGGGCGGCCCACCGGAAGCTCGCGATCCGTGCTGGAGCCTCCTACGCGCCGGTCTCGTGCAGGAGGGCTGTCAGTTCGTGCGCCATGACTTTGTCACAGAGGAGAAGAAGATCGATCCCTCCTTTGGAGCGGGCACGGTCGCCTGGAAAAAGAAACAGTTTAGATCGATGTGATGGAGAATTTCATTGACCACGAAGAATTGCCATTTTTTGGCACCAAACGGCAAACGGAAGGTCCATACACATGTTCTTTGTGTTCTTTGTTCTGCCAGAGTATGGGACCCAATGGGATGAAGACTCAACCAGATGGTTTGAATTGAAACCGCGTCAATGACCAGTTGTGAGGTGTTTAGCTTTTGGGAGTTCTCTAGGCCCAAACTCCGGTGAATGCCTCATGTACCATGGATATTGGCATTGTCTTTTGTGTTTCATTTGTGGGTTTCTGACGTTTTGTGAAGACGTAGACACGCACACCTCGGACGGCAAGCTGAGGACAAAGCAGCTTGCATGGGAGCTGCAGGCTGCTCGGACGTTCCCAAAGGCCGTGTTGTGGCATATATGAAGCCAGGTGGCATAGGCTCACAACACTCACTCCCCAGCAAGGATCCGACAAGCTGGAAAAACATGTGGAGGTCCTCTCACATGATGGGGTACACTCCTCCTTAGAATACTCATGGGGCCCGGGTTGCTTGGCCATGGGCCCCTTGGATGATCACCAAACAGGTGGTGAACGCCACTTCCAGGCACTTCCATGATAATGTATCTTCAAAAAAACAAAAAAAACGCGCGATGTGGTGGCTTCAAGTGCTGTTTGGCCCTTATGGTGTAGTGGGTTCCAAGGAATGATGATGGTTTCTGACATGTTGGGACCACGCCATCGCATGCCATCGCCCGGCCATGCCTTCCCATCCAAGAAGTATACCTGTATATAAACATGTTTTCCCGTCAGACGTGCCTTATTGGAATGGGGGGAGAACATTCATGAATGATCATGAAGCCCCTCTCGATTGGGCATTTCGCCCATGGTGTAGTACGATGAGAGCTTGAACTTGAACATCTATCTACAGTATACATTAATACAATATGCAGTACTTCAGACGCCGTGCGATAGCGTACTGGGGGTACTGCAACCCGGCGTCAAGCTTCCTGGGGTTCTTTAGCAATTCTTCCCAGTTTGTATTCACGTGCAAGTTCGCAGAGCGAATTCAGTGGAACATATAAATTGTCATCTCCCAACCTCATCCTCATACGCCTGGAAGGACTGGCAGAGACAGAAACGGCAACCACATCTACTGTATGCACCACACACAGAAAAGACTTGCTTTCTTAACATGTTCTATGACTATGAAAGACTGGAACACCCTCAATGCATCCCACTTGTATGATTGAAGGTGCTGAGGTGATGATTCCTGGAAATACAACGGAGTGTACTTTCCAAAAAGGAAAGACACCAGCAATTCCGAACACATCCCACTTGATGTTGAAGAACATGTCTCACATACATCTTTTGAATAACATACATACATCACATGTTGCCTTTTTATGTCAGACCCTATCGGAGTGACGTACCTGCCGTACCGGACTTAGGGACCTCCATCTTCGCCTCCCACTGGGTTACGGCGCCCACAGACTTCTGAGCGACGGACCCAAAAAGAGGTGCAGTGCAGTGTCAGGCAGTGCCTTTCTAGGAGGTTGAACAGTTTGGTATCACATGTCTTCAAGCATTTATATAATTTGCTTTCAAGGTTCAAGGCTTAACTTTCAAGGGTGAAACTTGGAGGTTAGAGGGTTGAAACTTGGAGGTGGATCCCTCAATTGAAAGGTTGATGGAAAGAATATGAAAGGAAACCAGTGTAGAATGCTCATTCCTGTAGCATGGGATTCTTTTTCGAGCACGTGGATATTTTTCTACAGACGGTCCATGAGAGGTCCAGCTTACATGCACTATCTTGTTTCATCTTATTTCCATTGCTCATTCAAATCTTTGATTCAAGGGCATCAGAAAATATCAGAAAGCCACACGAGGAGATGAGTATGTGTGACCATCATGTGCTGTCTTCACGTCCCAAAGTCCAATGACAAGCCTTGAAACACTTGACCCATCGCTTGTTTGACAGCCCATGTGGCAGTCTGTTCCAGCAGTCATCATCCTTTTCGTTAGATGCCTTTTTTGGTTTCGCTCACTCTCCACCTCAGAAGGAAAGTGGCTGCATAAGAATGGGAACCATAATTACTCTCCCTGCAACTAACATGGAAGTGGAAAACATACTGTTCGTAGAGGATTTCATGGTCTTCCAAGAGGCCATTGTCCACTTAACCATTCTTAGTTCCAGGGAGTGTAGTAGGTTTTCCTCCCCAATCCTACACCTGTCCTTGGCTCTATATATGGTGAACTAAAAGCAAAACCCGATGGTTCCTCCAGACGGTTCCCATGTGTCCCGTCACAGCTCCTGACCACCAAAGACCCGACCACGTCCGACAGATGGGAATTGCTGCCCGCGATGAATCGGCCCTACACGCATGTCCGGAACCCGCGGGACGCGGAGGAACAACGGCTTCTGTTCATCGATTGACCTGTTTTTTGGGTTCTGGGCTTTGGCTTATGTGTGCTTCATCCGTGGAGGAACCACGGTGTTTGTTTCTTTTTGGTGCAATCCAGAATGGGACGGTGGCGTTCCTGCTTTGGGGGCATGGTTTTTTCACGGCTTCTCCGCTCCGGTCGGATTCGCCGGGGGTGGAGGGGACGAGCAACATAGGACTGCCAGGAAACGGGGATGCTTGACTGGAGGCGGCGGATATAGAATGAGATAGAAGGGAGACCTCAAGGTATCGGATTCTTCGATTTTGCATGTCCGGTATGCCGGGTCCGGCGATGCGCGAGAAAAAGCTTGCCTTTCAAAGCCAACATGTATAGATGGACCATGTTTGTTTTTGAGCACTACATGATTGACTGGTGGCCACTTGCAGGAGGATTTGAAGGATCTTAAGATTTGGGTCAGTGAAAAGAAACATCCTGTACTGGGCAATGCTCAACTAGATCTCTGTGAACAACAGTTGTTGATTTGTGTACAGCTTAAACCTGGTGACATTCCAGCAGCCCTACTAAAAGCAACCGGCACCCCCGCTTCTTAAAGCAACCCTTCTTCTTAACCCTTAGGTTGCACCTTCCTCGGGCACCAGCCCTACTAAGCAGCCCTGAAAGCTTCGTTCCGACGCCTGACCGGAACACACGCCGAAAAAGCGATTGTTGACGCCCCGAGGCGGCCGCGACAGCGTTGGGGGGCTACATCTATGTTTTTGGCGGCTTGAGTTTTGGGCACGTTTTGGACCAGGCAGATGGGAGAGGGGAAGTTTGGGGCTAGTAAAGAAAAGGAGAGCGTTGTGAATGCAAGGGTTGGGACAAGGTGTTGTTTTTTGCTATTGGTGTTTTTCTTTTTGTGTTCCTTGTTGTTTCAAGATGTTTTCAGTGTGCATTTGCTACATCAGGAGTCAACATGGTAGAGCCTTGTACTCGGCAAACTGCCCATTCAGGCTCCGCAGCTCCGCAGCTCAGGGGTTAGGATGAGATTTTCCCCTCCACACATGGAGAGAAAGCAGCTGCGAGAGGAGTCAGATTCTTACCGAACCTTGGCTCCGAAAATGGTAACGAATCCGAACATCTCAAAGCACCTGGAAGATCAGAATGATTAATCGATTACTATTCTTTGACTACCAGAAGAGGGCATTGGTGGGCGAGGATGATCGCGAGGTGGCTGAGGAAGATGAGAATGGATCGATCTTTTGGGTCAAGAGTGGCCACCGCTTAAACCCAGTGGAGGACCATGCGATGCGTCCACAGTTGATGAGGCTTCGCGGACCTTGACTTCACTAGCAGAAGTGGACAAAGTCTAACGAGCACACTGTCGCACCCCAATCATTAATATGTGTTGAAGATGTATTAAAGATGTGATGAGTTTTCCGAGGCGAGTTGATTGACGCGTGAGCCTTCCACTCACCGGGCGCATGAACCATCAGTTTCTACTGGCAGACGCCCAGCAGAATGCTTGTTGGTGGCTGCCCACATGCCTATCGTCCACGTTATTTAAACCCTTGAAAGCCTTGGCTTGGGTCCTCTGCCTCCCTATTCTGTATGTTTATTTGCTGATTGGCTAATCTATTTTAAAGATAAGCCGCAGCTTCCCCGCTTACACGTGAATACCGGTCTACCCCAGAGCTTCACCCTTTGGACGTTACATGATGTTTTCTCCTCCATTTAGGATTCAAGTCCATAGATAAAGCATATCAGAGAGCCAATCCATGGGATGCTTTGTGCCGTCAGGCCCAACGTTTTGCCCATGGACAGTGGGAATGTCGGGAGCCTCACGTGGTGACCTGTAAGGATGCACTGGGACAGCTGGAGGCGCCCGGAGCACATCATTGAGCACTAAACAGGGTTCCTGCGGATGTGTGTTTTATCACGACCACCGCTTCTTGAGCAATCATGCCAAAGACGGGCTGGCACTGCAATCACAATGCTGACCATTCCGGGATTTCCATTCCCGCATTTTCCATGCCCTTTCCTCTTTTTCTTCAGCTTTTCAGGCCAGCCAAGACGGCCGACATCCATCTCCTTCACCGGTGGCCGCGGCCATGGCCGTGGCTGCGATGTTTCACGTTGGGCCGCCGGAGCCGAGGTTTGGATCCGATGCCCACGCCACGCTTCGAGTGTGACCCCGGCCCAGAGCGGGCCAGAGCGCGGAAGCGGCGGGGAGAGCTGGAGTGCCCGACCCGTTCACGCAGCTGACGTAGCTCCACCCAAGCAAGGTATTCTGGTTTTCTATGTTCCGCCTGCTCAGTGGATGGAAGATACTTTGCCTGGAAGAATCATGGGGACGTAGTACATATGGGATCATATGGGTACGTGGTACATAAAAAAAGATGGCATGGCCCAACGACTCATGGATGACCATGAGGATGCAAAGACCAAACAGGTGGTGAACTCCACCAAACCATGATGATTCGAACGGGAGTTTAGAGTTTGAAGTGTCCAGTGGGGCCTGGAGTGTCAGGAGATAGACGAACGGAAATACTTACGGAAGATGCTTGGAGTTATGTGTGAGAGGCCTCGTTTGCTGGTGCCTGTTTCTGGTTGTTTTGGCCGTTCCTCTTGGTTCCCAGAGTGGTTTTAGAGGAATTGGGGGGAAGGTTCACTGAAACAAGTGGGCCCGGCCCCAGACACATGGCTCTCACGTGTCTCGCCAGCCACACGATGCTTTTTGTTGTCCAAAGAAACCAGCGGAGCTGATGGGACACACCGAAAATCGAACCAACAAATTCACCTCCGCTGGTTTCTGACTGGTTTCCAGACTGGTCTTCAGACCCAGAGGTCAACAGTTGTATAGTTGTGATTTGTTGTGTCGTGCTAGGTAGAGAGCACGCAAAACAGTGATCATTGAAGACCACTCATTTACACGAAGATGCATAGAAATAAGACAAAGGCTCTCTCTCTCTAGACTCTAGAGGTATTATATACATTTATATACTGTGTATATTTGTATATGTATATAGTATAGATGATGTATAAATACCCTCCTGTATGCTTTGTATATCGCGACAGACCCTCTTCTACATTGCACCTCACAGTAATATGTAGACCTCTCTCCTTGCACCACTACCACACGCACACAAACACGCAGAGCATGTTGGTAAATTTGGCTAAGCCCTACAAAAGGTCTATTTGGCTGCCAGCCCTACAAACTGACCTTGGATGTCATGAAGCTATCTTGGAAACACAAAGGAACCATCCAAAACCTCCAAACCATCCAGGACAGGTGTCGGACAGGAGCTTTTTCTGAAGAAAGCTCAAGCCTTTCGAGGATTGGGGACCACGGACCACGGACCACCGAATTCGACTCCCAGGTACCGCTGCGGCGACCAAGGGCCGGATCTACGTGGGGACGCCGGATCTACGTGGGGTTGAAGACCGGGAAAGGGAGCATGAGACGTACAGTATGGCAGCTACGCAGCTACTGGTATCATATATTACCATGTATGTAGAGGATATGATGCATATATGCATACATATTAATATGCATACCACTTGATCATTTTGGGTCCTTAGTGCTGTGCATTTTGAGGATGTTGTCAGCCTCCAGGTGATTCTTGTAGGCCTCGAATACCCTCCAGACATTCTTGTCTCAAGTGTCCTTTCTTGCTAGCTGCTAGCTCCTTGGAATGGTGCAAAGCTGTTCCGAGGATGCGTTTTCTTCCAAGTCAAATGGAATGCCTGCGCAGCTTCCACTCCATTTTGTTCAGGATCCCATTCGACCACGATCAACTGTAGTAATCTGAGGGGAGCCAATGTCCGCCAACCAACCATTCCCAACCAATCTGGAACACCTTCGTCAAGTGATTCAACAACAAAATAAGATCATCAATCAATAAAATATTTCCTCACTGACTATATGATTTCTCACTTATTACATGTGTCTTCCAGCTGTTTACGCCCAACCATTTCAGATACCCTTTTCCTCACCCCTCTGAAACATTTCCGACTCTCAGAATGCATTGTCACTTGATCCAGAAAGTTATTGAAAATCATAGATTGTTTTCATAGATCTCATTTGAACGCGTTGGAAGGGAAATCATAACTTTGTCC